TCTAAAAACCATTAAAAGTGGTGATCGAATTTGGGCGGGGTGCTCTACTGTATAGAAAATTATAAGATTTGTCAAAAAATTTAATCATCTTTATTCTTTAATATATTATTAGATATATTTCTTATCGAAAAAGAAACTAAAATAAAAAATTCAAACGTTAACATCTTTAAATAAAACACATAAAACTAACTAAATCAAAAAAATATTCACTAAATTGATTATTAATAGAGTATAAATATTTTGTTAAAAGTTTTTTCATTTGTCAGCTACTTATATTAAAAAGCAGTTTGTAAAGGTGCAGCACTACAAAATCAAACAAAAATAATTTTTAATATTTATCTTTTTTTTTAATAAATTTCAATTTACCGTCGTGCAAAATAAATGAAACTACCAGCAGCCGCTGAGCCTGTTGTTAATACACCAACTCCTAAACCTAAGCCTAAACCTAATTTCAAACGAAAATTTTCAGCTTGAAGATCTTTAATAGAATTTGTTAATGATAACTTTTCAATTTCATCTGATGAGTCTGTTGTTGTTGTTGTTGTTATTGTTGTGGTTCTTGTTTGTGTAGTAGTATTTGTATTTATAGTTGTTGATACATACGGGAATGTTGCTGTTGTATTTATCCAACAATCCCAATACAAACATACTGGCAAACAAGTTGTCGTTGTAGTTGATGTTGTTGCTAAAAATTATATTTTATCAGTTAATAATAAGCATTATTGTTATTTATATAATATAGAGATTGTTCTTAATTTAAAAGTTTGCCTTTTTTTGCTACTATAATATTATTCTATGTTAAAAATATTTAAACTTCACACACTGTTATAATTAATGCACTTCCATTTCCATTTTTCTTAACTTTAAGTTATTTCTAAAATGATCTTTTCGTCTTTTTCTTACTTGTTGTTGTAGTCGTTGATGTAGTAGTAGAAGTAGAAGTTGTTGATGTTGATGTTGAACTTGAAGTAGTCGACGTTGAAGTACTACTTGTGGAAGTACTACTAGTTGAAGTAGTAGTTGACGTAGTACTTGTAGAAGTACTTGAAGTTGAACTTGTACTTGTTGTTGCGGTTGTTGTTGTGGATGTTGAACTTGTTGTAACACTCGTTGTAGTTGATGTACTACTAGTACTCGTAGAAGTACTACTTGTGGTACTACTTGTACTTGAAGTACTGGTAGTTGCAGTCGTCGTTGTCGAGGTTGTACTGGTGGTACTAGTAGTAGTTGTAGTACTTGTCGAACTTGTACTAGTAGTACTGGTTGTGGCCGACGTGCTTGTAGTACTTGTTGTCGCTGTAGTACTAGTAGAAGTTGTACTAGTGGTGCTAGTTGTTACTGTCGTAGTTGTTGACGTTGTACTTGTAGTGCTTACTGTCGACGTTGTACTAGTGGAGGTTGTACTTGTAGTGCTTGTTGTCTGACTTGTTGTTGTTGAGGTTATGCTTGTAGTACTTGTTGTTGCCGTTGTAGTTGTGGAAGTTGTACTAGTAGTACTGGTTGTCACTGTTGTAGTCGTAGAGGTTGTGGTTGTAGTACTTGTTGTTCCGCTAGTTGTTGTTGTTGTTGAGGTTGTACTTGTGGTTGTTGTAGTTGTAATACTAGTTGTTGCTGTTGTGCTTGTAGTACTTGTACTAGTAGTACTAGTTGTTGCTGTTGTAGTTGTGGAGATTGTACTTGTAGTACTTGTTGTTCCTGTCGTAGTTGTCGAAGTTGTACTTGTAGTGCTTGCTGTTGCTGTCGAAGTTGTACTAGTGGTACTGGTTGTACTTGTTGTTAAGCTAGTTGTTGTGGAAGTCGTAGTACTAGTTGTTACTGTTGTAGTTGTCGAGGTTGTACTCGTAGTGCTTGTTGTTCCTGTTGTCACTGTTGTAGTTGTTGAAGTCGTGCTTGTAGTACTTGTTGTTGCCGTCGTAATTGTTGAGGTTGTACTACTAGTGCTTGTCGTTCCTGTTGTACTAGTTGTCACTGTTGTAGTTGTTGATGTTGTGCTTGTAGTACTTGTTGTTGCCGTCGAAGTTGTACTAGTAGTACTAGTTGTTGCTGTCGTAGTTGTTGAGGTTGTACTTGTGGTGCTTGTTGTTCCTGTCGTAGTTGTCGAAGTTGTACTAGTTGTTATTGTTGTAGTTGTCGATGTTGTACTTGTAGAGCTAGTTGTTGCTGTCGTAATTGTAGTAGTGGTACTAGTAGTGCTGGCTGTCGTTGTCGTGGTTGTGCTTGTAGTGCTCGTTGTCGATGTCGTACTAGTAGATGTTTTACTAGTAGTACTGGTAGTTTCAGTCGTAGTTGTTGACGTTGTGCTGGTAGTGCTTGTTGTTGCCGTTGTAGTTGTTGAAGATGTGCTAGTAGTGGTAGTTGTCGCTGTCGTAGTTGTCGAGGTTGAGCTTGTAGTACTGGTTGTCACCGTTGTACTAGTGGAGGTTGTGCTTGTAGTACTAGTAGACGCTGTCGTACTCGTAGTACTGGTTGTAGCTGTTGTAGTCGTGGAAGTTGCACTCGTGGTAGTGGTTGTCGCTGTGGAAGTTGTACTAGTGGTACTGGTTGTACTTGTAGTACTTGTTGTAAAACTAGTTGTTGTTGTTGAGGATGTAGTCGTAGTACTAGTTGTTACTGTTGTAGTTGTCGAGCTTGTGCTAGTAGTACTAGTTGTTGCTGTTGTAGTTGTAGACGTTGTAGTTGTAGTGCTGGTTGTTGCTGTCGTAGTTGTGGAGGTTGTACTAGTCGTACTGGTTGTTGCGCTTGTTGTTGTTGATGTGCTGCTTGTACTTGTCGAAGTACTGCTTGTAGACGTGCTAGTAGTTGTTGCTAAAATATGAACAAAATCGATAATGTATTAATTTTGAATAGTGATGAAAAGTTATATATTTTACTCGATGTTGAAGTTGAAGTTGTAGTTGATGATGTGGTTGTTGCTAGTTAATAAGTAAAAAAGAAATAATTGAATTTAAACTATTTCTGATGATCAAAATCTTAAGTTCTAGAGTGAAATTCAGAAAATATTTAGCTATATTCGTTTATTAAGCTTTTTAATATTGAGCACGTTTTTGAATATATAGTAATTCATAGGATATTTGATTGAGATCAAATTACATTCTAGTTAAGGAAATATTATTCAGATACAACGTTAGTAATCTCATTAAGGCTAATATCGCGCATTGATGCTCATTTTTTATGATAATACTCTGACAAGTTTTTACTAAATGGAAAAGACTAAAAGTTATTGCTAGTTCTTGAAGAGATGTTTATATAATATATTTATTTATTATGTATCAAACATATTTAATTAATCAATGATAGACAAAATTTTGTTATATATGAGCATAAACTAAAAGAAGTTCAACTCGAAGAGTTATTAAGTATATTTAACATGCCTATTTCACGGCATGATGATAAAACTGTTTTATATACGATCGAAAACATTACGAAATTAGATTTGTTTTACAATAAAAAATTGTAATCAAAATATAAAATAAAACTAAAAGAAATTATTTCTATTGATCTATAATAGATTTAATATAGAAATAATTCAAGGGAAATAATATTTGTAGAAGAAATATATTTAACTGAATAATCTGTTTCGAATACTGATTATACGAAAATTTTAAGTAAAAATCAACTTTAAGAATGATTTAAGAAATAAACATTTCACTTTTATGCATTTCTGAATTTTTGAGAATACGCTTTGTAATATCTAATGCTAAAAACTTAAAAGACTAATTATAGATTCTTATTACACAGAATTTAACCAAAATCTGATACTGTTAGTCTACCAACTTAGAAATATATAACTTAGTTTATAAAATATTTAGTCATTGATGATCTATAAAATAGCTTATATTTCGTCATAGAGATCGAAGACGATGAAATATTAGTGACTGTATTTATTACAGATTATACTCAATACATAATAAATATATATTTGATCAAACTTTCATTTACTCAAAACAGAAACTACAATGACTATCATACATCTCTCATCGAATTAAACTTTCTCTCTGTGTATTTCAATCTATGGAAAATAATTAAAATAAAAATTTTACTAGTTGTTGTTGTTGTTGTCGACGTTGTTGTGCACGCACAAGGGCACATGCAAGCGAGATTTGTTGTTCCATCTGCTTGACGTGCAATACGTGGATGAATATCATTTTCTTGATATGCTAAATATGAACTTCCTAGAAATAAATCATATAGATATATTCAATAGTAAATATATTTATTTAAAATCTATTACTTTCAATCGATAAGCCATGAGTAACACTAATTGCAGAGAGACATATCCACAAAACGAATTGCCAAAAATTCTAAATTAAAAAAAAAGACAAATTATATACGAGATTAAATATTTTTTCTGATTCAAAATATAATTTATGTTTTTCTTAAATTATTAATATCTCGTTTGAGAACAGTTATTTTTACTCAAACAAATCAATTCTAAAATACTGAATTATATTATATATAATAGTGTTTAAGTTTTTTCAAATGATTAAATTGAGTAAATAGTATTGTCTTTATCGAAAATAGATCGTAAGAGAAAGAAAAAACTTTAGAATTTAATCTTGTATAAAGGTGTTTTGTTTTTGTAAAGTCCTTAGAAATAATATGAAATCGTTAGTAGAACTTACCATTTTGTTGAATTGTCTGAGTGATCGTATGATTCTAAAAAGAACCGTTTAATTAAGTATTTTTCATAAAATATTTTAGTACTCAGTTGTATGTAATGTATGTTCTATATATATATATATCTATAAAAATGAATAAAATACTTTCTTGTTATTATTGCCATAAGAAATATTGTTATACATATTCAATAGAATATTTAATCTTTACGATGACTTTTTCTTGTTTGTTTTCATTTTTCTTTAAAATGTTTTTAATAGGGTATGCAGGCAGGGTGCCGACGACGATCGGATAATTATATGTACTTCTGAAACATTCAAAGATTTTAATACAAAATTGTTTTTCGTCGCTGTACTTTTCTTTCTTTCTTTCTTTCTTTCTTTCTTTTATGTTGTCGTTATACCTTTATAATTTTATACTTGCTTAATCTATATTTCTAGAATGAATCTTATGTTTTCGATAGAATGCACATGTACAAATTCTAATGGTAATCCATCATTTGAATAAAATGAAAAAGAATTGCCGTATTTTTTCTAAAATTATATATCAAAAATATATAATTGACGATCAATCAAATCTCAAATAGCTGTTCGATAATTGTATACAATAAAATCTCGTGTAGCAAATTATACCTAAAGTATACAAAACTAATGGTAAAATTGTATGCTAATTGATCATAATTCTACTGATATTATAATAATAAATTTTTGTTATGATTTATAATCATAGTTAGTTTTGCATATGCACAAATAAAAAGTAAATATACCATAACATACCAGATATTATACTTTTGAGCGATTAAATTCCGACTGTTGAAAAAACGATTTTTTTTGGCACACGACGAATTATTCTTTTTTACTTATTTCAGTATTTCATCACTTGATACAATTTATGAAAAAAAAGTAACGGTCGATGTAACTAATTTTCTGTACTATGAAACTTACGATACTCACAAATCATAACAACACGAATCTTATGAAAGATTTATTATTATGAAATCAGTAAAAGTGTCATCAAATAGTATAGATCATTGTTTTCTCTATAAAACTATATAAAAAGAAAGTTTCATTAAGCTTACATCTCCCATTACTTCTGCTTTACACCAAATAATTATGTTTTATTTGTCTTAAAGATGAAAAGAACTCGGAAATTGATATGTTCACTAATAGTCTACTGTAATTAATCGATAAAATAAGAATGTTTTCATGTATAACTTACGTAGACAAACAGAACTGTAAACGAAAAAATATTTCAAATCTCGCATGACATTTTCTATTATAATCATACTATTAAGTTTATATTCGTATTCTTTTTTCAATACAAAATACAATTTTCTTTTTTTTCTTTTTCTATGATTTTATTCAACAAGGTAAGAATCTAAAGAGATTCTTGTTTCAGATTTTTTTTGATCGTTATTGATTATTTATAATTATAAATGATTATTGATGATTGATGTCATTTTCTTTAATAGCAAAATATTTCTGTTGCGTTCTGCAACGTTTTTAAACGGCATATACTATATGATCTTTTGTAAATTTAATTTGTTCGTCACACGTGAATATTTTTAAAAAAATAGCTAGTTCCTATCTTTTCTTATGTTTAAAAATAATACTACTAGACTTTAAATACAGTTGATTATAATGGTTGAACTATTTTTCTTTGTATTCGTGCAGAACGCAAGAAAATCTTGTGATTGAAAGATACAAATACCTATAGAAAGTAATAAAAGAATTTGTGCTGTGTTTTATTCAAAAGAAAAAGGAGACATTATCAAAGGATGTGACTACTCTCTTGCTGAACTTACACTCTGTCTATAAGGAACTTTACTGTAGTGATGTATTTCAATGTCTGAGACACAATCTTATATCTATTCATATTTGTTGAATTTATTTCACAAAACAGGTTATCTCTCAAAATACAATTAAAAAATAAAAAAAAGAACTCATTATATAGCTATGCCTTGATTAAACAAAATCATTTATTGATGATCTCATGTCCATCGTTGTCATTAGATAGTTGGGTGTGAACGGCTGTGAAGCTGAAATTAATCGAAAAAGTTGCGAATATTCTGATGTGAAATTTCGTACATTGATATTCATAACTAAAGCATGTGTGAAAATCATTTTGTGTGCTATGTTTCCCAAAATTTTACATAATTAGCCATAGTCGACTAAATAATTAATTTATAAGTGTACATATTTGAATCTTGAGGGTAAGCATGAGCGTGGGCTTGGGTTGGCGGTGTTCCATCCCCTACCTATCCACAACACTCACATTCATGTGTAAGATCATTTATATTGTACACATCAACAAACGGCTGTTTGCTATAAATAATTGGTTTATCTGGGTCTCATATTGTTAAGTTTGGACCTGATATAAGTATAGTTGGTGTTGAAACTTCGTTACAATGCTTCGAGAAAGGTGTCCAAGAAAATATAATTGTGTCAACTATATGTTTATTTCCACTAATATGTCTAATAATCCATTTAAACCAGATAAAATGACTAAATTGTGTTGGCGTCGAAATTGATAATATAAATCAGATAATGAGCATCCCATTCTTAGTCGAATCGGTTCTTTTGCTTAAAAAAAATATTTCGAAGATGCTCATATAGAATTTCAATCTAATATTCATCGCACGATAAAGATAAAAGTTTGGCCAAAAGTTTTATCAGAATCTTTATTCTTATTTTGATTGTTCGGATTCGTACTACAATTTTCATATCTTTGGCTTGCCTGAAAAGGGTTGTATATGTTATTAACTATTCATTTCATATATGTTGGAAAAAGATAGAGCGTCCGATTGATAGTTCACTGCTTGGTATAGACATTGACAGTTCGACATTTGTATCGACGATATGCGCCAGATTAAAATAAACTTCGATCAGTTTCAATCTCTTTTATACAGAGTTGCTTGTAATAATTTGATTCGATAACCAGTATATTTGAATTGATCAATCAAAAAAGTATCATCTCTTGACTTAAAAACTGTTCTTAATTGTTTGTCGTTCACCACGCGTATTTCTATGCATATTGATTCATCAAATCATTTATCATTTGAAAATACTAAATTTTGTACTATGAAAAATTCATAATTGTATCTGAGTGTTTTCTGACTGGTTATCGAACTACTAGAGTATTACTTCTGGGGAATATTTTGAGGGGGATTAAGAGAGTAAAAACTGGAGACATATTGTTTTATTTGAGATATATAAAAATGCCCACATAATTGTCGAATTGTTTCGAAGATTGCATGAACCCTTCACGTAATTTGAAAACTACGTGGACAGCTTAGGATCTAAAAATTATTTTTTGCTATGAAGATGCCCATCTCAGATTCATTAGCCTCTTTTTTAGATAAGTAGTAAGTAATATCTACAATATAAAGAGATAGATACATTTTCGAAAGCAAGAAAATTTTGAACTTTTGATAATATCACTTTTAGAAGATTGAATGTTATTAAACATTTGCTTGAATGAGTAAAAGCTTGACAAATGCTCTTCCAGATATAATAACACTGTTCTTAGATTAATATATATATATTCGATACTCGATCAATTAGATCATTTGATTATTCGACTTCTCATAGAAATCTCTTTTATAAGCGCAAAAACTGCAGAAGGCGTGTGAGGGTTGTATATACGTAGATCGATAATACATAAAAACAATGCGCACCCACACATACGCAAAAATGATTCAGAAATATGACATGTGCAGTGTTTGTGCGCATGATGTGATACGAGGTAAAGAGAAAATAAGAGTATGTCTTGCTATTGAAAGAAAAAGAAAAAGTAAAAAACAAAAGAACGGTAAAACAAAAGTCTTCAACGTGTCGTGGAAGCGTTATGTTTGCTGCATCTTATACAATTTCGAGAGGTAAATATTTAGAAACAGACTTTTCAATGCTTATTTCTCATGCATGGGGTACGATTAGATACTTCCTTCCTTTCATCTGCTCGCAGTGTAGTTTCGTGCATAGTCACCAAATACTTCTATAATGATAGACACTCAACTTTACGACGTTGTCTACCACTATCAGAATTAGATATTCATTCTCAGACGAGAACCTTTGATCATATTTTATATATATCTAGACTATCAATCACAGCTTACAGATTCTCCTGATTCAGTAGTAGTTTAGATACGATCCTTACTAGATACTTTCCTATAGAACAAGCTTTACATGTATTTTCTAGTAGAATGACTCATCCATATCTTGCATCATCAAAAACGGAACAGCGTCATGTATATTTTTTATGTTCTGTAATTTTTATGATGACGTGTTGCAAAAAGATAAGAAATGATATTGTCATATATATATTATATGTATACATATTGTGATTGATGAAAAATAGTTTATTGAATGATCTGTTTTCTACATTCGTTACTGGTTATAAGATATAATATACGTATGATTACAAGTGAAGTATGTAAGGAATATAGTTTCTCAATTAACGATTAGTAGCAATGAATTTCCTATTTCATACAATCAATGGTCATGAAAAATACATATTTTATTTTCAACAATTATTTGAATAGAACTATATTACTTCTAAAATGAACATGTCTTCAAAAAAAAAATAATTACAACGTTCATATATCTCGAACAAAATCAGATAGCATAGTTAGGGTAGGGGTGATTCCAGAAATTGATTTAAATACAGAACCGATGTTTGTATTACTGAGAATCGTCACAAAACAAATAATGAGTTGAAATCATTGATCTATCAAATATGTTAACTATTACTGTCAATTCTCTATTTTAGATATACAAAACAGTTAATTTCATGAATGACAACGTTGTTACATGTTTCGAAGATCTTCCCAATGAGATCTTTCGAAATATTTTCGACTATTTGACAATTCGAGATCTTTATCGAACATTTGTTGGATTGAACATACGAGTCGATACCGTTCTACGATCTATCGATCATGTTTCTCTCACGTTATGGTCATCTGAAAGTGCTAATGATCCAGCGATAATGTTTTTTGCATCACAATTGAATCGATTGATGGTCGTTAATGATGGTATAGAGACAATTGATCTCACTTACTTTTCAAATGTTCGTTCCTTAAAACTTAAATATCCATCCAACAAACAAATATCTCAACTTCTTCAATCCGAACAACTATCTTATCTTGAATTTCTTTCACTTGGTTTTGTAAGAGATTTGTCAGAATCATCGATAACAGACAAACTACATCGACATCTTTTTTCTAATGGATTTCCTTTTCTTTACACATGTACTCTTGTTAATACACCCAATCCAACTCCAAATTGGTCTATATCACCTAATATTCGCTCTTTAACTCTTCTTGGACCTGTTACTTTGTCTATCTATAATACTATTCTCGATTCATGTCCTAACCTAGTTCATCTCATATTGCATGCTTTCATCGATAAGTCTATCGTTCCACCAGTGTTTTCTTCACATCATTTTTTACGTAATCTTTCAATTCAAATCACTAAATGGTCAACAAACAAAATGATCGATTCACTTCTCATGCAAGTACCTAAACTCCAACGACTTCATGTGAAAATGCTTCCACCAGTATCCAGTATTGATTTTTCTCAACTAGCTTCTATTCTTTTCGAACGTACACCTCGACTATGTCGATTCGATTGTGATATGATGATGTATAAATACACTATTGATACTGACGTTGTTCATCATCTTCATCCATGTTTCATGCGCATCCAATGTAATTCGGAATATGGTCGTTTTCATATCTTCACCGACAACAATGACAAGTTATAGTCAAATGATATGAACATATTCAGATAAAAACTTATTACGTTACTATTCTTGAAATCATATCGAATAACGTATAATTATTATTATTATCATTTCAGTAAGCCAATGATTTATTGTCAGAATAACAGTGATCTATAACTAATTTTAATGATAATAAAATTCGATATATCTACTCTATTTCATTCTAAGGGACTAATTAATTTTATGCGTAATAAAGAAAACCATCCTGACGGTGAATGAGTATTGATGATGAATGAAAAGGATATCCTCACCCACAACACCGATCACTTTTTAGTCGTCGTCTTCATAAGTATTGACAAAGATATCTGTATGGACTATTTGGTTTACATCGAAATAATACGAGCATAAATACAGTAATGTTAAAATTACTGCTCTGCTAATGAGTACGAAGTTAAGCAGTTTTATGAAAAATAATATTGTTCAATGAAAAGATACTTCATATTGCGTTCTTTATTTATGAGAAATCACACACAAAGAGAAAGAGTTGGACAGAAGACAAACTAATTGGAAAAAACAATCAATATATAGATATACGTCATATAAGATTATGTCGAAGGGAAGATTAAAAATAGTTTGGAATGTTCCAATGATAAATATTACTGTATCACATAGCCATTTTATCATCAAGAACTTTTAGAAATTTGCTTTTGTCATGAACTTTTGATGATTCCAGATGATACGTAATAACTTCTGTACGATTAAGTTGTACAAGTTGAGGAAGAGCCTTGTGCGAATCAATACCATGTTCTTTCATGCTATCTGGAAATATAAATCAATTATTTCGATTTCTAATTGATAAATTGAATGTATTATTTAAGAAAATTGCTCAAAAATCACTTTTTTTTAATCGGTTGATGAGAAAACATATCGGTTCAGTCAGAATCATATATAGGTTGATTACGTTATTTTTAATAGTTTTGTGTAATTTGTTGTATTTATGTGAAACACTGAAATTTTCTTGTTTAATAAGTTTACATTCTATGTTCTTCGGTTTTAATTCAAAAATTTTTTAAACAATAGCTATCAAGGATGAGATAGGGTGTTTTTTATTTTTGTATCAGCATGTTTATTTGAAAAAACAAAGAATGCAAGCTTATTGATTCGATAGAGCAGTTAATGCTCTATCCAACTGACTCAAAACAAGTAACTTCCAGTGTTTCACATAAATACAACAAATCGTATAAAACTATTAAAAATAACGTAATCAACCTGTATATATATATATGGATCTCAAAGAATTTAGCTGACTGTTATCAGAAATAAAACTAGTAAAACACAATTCGTTTTATTTGATTATTTTTACTTACTTGTAGCATTCAGTGGTCCAATAGCAACTAATGGATGATAGGGTGTCGATTGTGAGAGTATTGGTGGATCATTCAAGTTTTTCATTGCCATAGTAGTAAAATTTGATAATGTAAATTGACAAATAACTACACCTGAATCAAATGTTGCTTTTTCTACTGTGAATACTCCACCTTGTGCTATTCCAGCTGGAACAGGATGAAGATGTCTGCCAGGATTCATATATCTGTTCACATCAACAGTATCATTAACAAGTCGCCGACAAACAAACACATGAGATGGGGCCTAACAAGAAAAAAAACGAATAATATTTAGTTATATAATGCAGTCGTGGCAACAAACCATCGATTGGTTACGATTTAGACCAATGGCAGCCCATTGTGCAGGTTGCATTTTATAGATAGCCATATGAATTCTTGTGATATTTCCAACTTCAAATGTCCATGTTACATTAACACCAACATTACCAGTGGGTGAAACAAGTTTAGTGCCAGTGTTTCGATGTCTATTAGAGGATCCTTTATGACTGTGACTGATCCCTGTTTGGACCAGTATAAGAAGACACAATATTGTTGTAATATATTTCATCTAAAATAAATATGTAAACATCCTTCGATTAAATTGCGTTTAAAGAATGACGAATGCACTTTTATAAAGTCATATATATATATATATATATATATATATATAAAGATTGTCTATTTGCCAACAAATGGAATTTGGTCTGTGTTTTATCTGTGTTAAATAGTATGATGAAGACACAAAAAACGATATGACTCAGTTCGAATGTTGTGCCTTTTTCTTCTTTTTAATTTCTTGCTTGTTTATCATATCAAGACATTTATATTTGACGGGTTACTGCTAGTCATTTTTATTCTCGTTATAAAGGTAGATATAGTTAGTAAAAGAGAAAAGAATTTTAAAAGCGTTGAGTCACTCATAAAGATACGGAGGTGGGCAACATTTTCGAAGTGTTTGTTGTCGTACTCGAAAAAAAAATACTTGCGATTCGAAATGAAGTACATATAATGATCAAAAGATTCTCGGAATTCATTGCATTTTGTTTAGACGACCGAAACTTCGTTCATTTTTCTATACCATATGTTAGCGATCGTAGTTGCACTATTCCACAGAAAGTTTCATTCTTTTAACTCATTCCCAAGATACTGTTCACTTTGAGATCATAGCTACAAATTTAATCTTCTTTGTTATAATTGCTGTTCGTGAGAGTATGCGTGTGGGTGAGGGTGAGGGTGAGGTTGTGAATGGGTGTTGCTGGGCGTAAGTGTTAGTATTAGGTTCAACTCTCACCCACACCCACATCCACACCCTGAAGAGCCACCCTCAATATTCTTGAAAATCATCAGTTTGAAATAGATTTTAAATCTTATGAGTGATAGTCGGAATTTATTCGACCATGAATATATCTATATTACTGAAGTTTTAGAAAAATAGTAATCTAAACTAAATTTTAATGTATTGAATCTTATATGACATAGTTTGTTTTAACTAAGAATCAATGTGAAAATTATCTTCAATTATTTTTTTAAATTTTATTCGATCTAAATACAATTAGATAAAACAATAAATCAAGTTTTATCAACAATTTATAAGAAATATTTTTTTTTCCACCAGTATGAGATTAATTCAATTTTTGAATATGAAACGAAATACCGCGAACATCGATTCATTGAATAAAGTTAAAAGATCATAATCACGAGAAAAGAAAGCTTTTTCACCCGGTAGGTTATACTTTAATGTTCAAATATTTAATAGAATATTAATTCAAAGTATTTTCATCGTCATCAATTGTTGCACAAAATTTATAACTTCAAAAGAAAAACAAATGATATATCTAACATTAAATTACAAAATATTCTTTTTCTTTCCTTTCCTGTATAAAAAAAAAGACTCAAAGAAATTGAGATTATGTTTAAATAGCTACACATCCGTTAAATGGCGAGATTTAATTAAAAAAGTATCTCTTTCGTGAAGCTACAGTTAAGAAGGCGATAGAAAAAAAAGTTATATATTTTGTTTATCCTTAATCTGTTTAACATTTAATTGCATAGGAACATTTTAATTCTCTTTGTTGAGAAAAGTCATGTTTTTAATGAAAGTATGATTATATAGACAGAATGTAAATTCCTTATAAGTGTAATCAATTCTGCTTCAAAAAAGACTATATAGTACTCATTTTTTTCTTTTTTTTCTGCAATCTTGAGTATCTCATTGTCTCTTCATTTTTAATCAAATTAGAAAAAATATCTCGCAATTATTCGAGAATTCCCTTTTTATTTTTGATATACAAAAGATGTCAACAATAACAACTCTTATTCTTGTTCAACAATATATTACTCGTTATGTTTTATCAACAGCTCTTATATTAGGTAGTGTTGGAAACTTTATTACAATAATTATCTTTTCACAGAAAAAACATCGAACAAATTCATGCTCTATTTATTTAGTAGCAGTATCTATATTTGGTTTAATGACAGCTAATTTAGGTATTGCTCCACTCGTATATGGACTTGATCATTTCAATGCGCTAAACTCTTCATTAGCATTATGTCGTATTCGTGGATATACCATACAAGTTACTGCTATGTGTTTTCGTTCTACACTTATCTTGATGTGTGTTGATCGATATGCATTATGCAATTCCCGTGCTGCAATTCGAGCTCTTTGTCGACCACAAATTGCATATCGATCGATTGGAATTGTGATCATCGTTTGGATGATCGCCTCTTTTCATCTACTTATTTGGGAAAGTATTGAAAATAATCTTTGTTATCTTTATGGGCTTTATGGACAAATAATTGGTTTTTATACTTTAATATTTACTGGTACAATACCAATTCTAAGTATGATTTTAATTAATATATTGATATTGAAAGCTTTACGACAATTGCGTACTCGTATTCAACCAATTAATAACACTAGACAAATAAGACAACGAGATATTCAATTCATGAAACTTATGATGGTTGAAGTAATTGTTTTTATAATATGTACAACTACACATCCATTAATGTTTCTCTATACAAATATATCGAATAGTATTATTTTAAATAAAACTAATGAACGAAAACAAATCGAAACATTTCTTAGTTTTATTACAATGTCAGTACTTTTATATATGAATTATAATACGATGTTTTTTGTTCATAGTTTTACATCGAAAACATATCGAATGGAAATTAAAGAATTTATATTAAAAATAGTTAGAAAATCGAGAGAAATTACACAAAGTCAAGCCAATTCAATACAAAATGTGAACTAATCATTAACAGAAGAACAAACACAAATTCATTATTATTTTTTTTTGCTTTTGATGTTGTTTATTACGATGTGAATTTATCTATATTTAAAATTAATGAGTTTAATTTTTATTTTATAATATTGCTTTATTAATTTCATCTTGCCGGCAGTATTTTTTGTAGGGTGTGGGTGTAGGTATTTATTGATTAAAGAATATGATCTGGATGTATCGAGGATAATTTTATTTTCAATTTGTATGTATTTATATTTTTTTAAGTATTCGATGCTTTTCTTATGCTAATGTACACTTGTATCGCAATAAAATTTTATTCAAAAGTCAAGAAGGATATAATCAAGCAGATGATATTTACATGAGAGAGAAAAAAAAGTCAAGTGGATAATGAATCTATTATAATTTATTTATGTAATTATTAATGTAAAAATACAACTATAAAATCATAGATTTGTTTATAATAATTTATAGATAAATAAAGATTATAATCAAAATCTTATTCGTGACTAATACTTCAGTAAAAACCATCTTGATGTTTGGATATTGGTGATAAATGAGAGAAATATCCACACGTACACTCTTCCTATGAATGAGAAATAAGAGTGAATACTTTCGACTGACTCACCAAGCTGACTTATCTGTCCAGACCATGTGCAAAGTGCCGTTGATTCATTCGCACTAGTTCTCTGAATCTTGGTCAATCGGTGACCACCGACCATTTTTCAGTTGTCGTCTTCATAAGTATTGACAAAGATATCTGTATGGACTATTTGGTTTACAACGAAATAATACGAGCATAAATGAAGTAATGTTAAAATTACTGCTCTACTAATGAATACAAAATCAAGCAGTTTTACCACAAATAACAATATTCAATGAAAAGATAAAAAATATTTCATAACGCATTCTTTATTGATGAGAAATCACACACAGAGAGAAAGAGTTGGAAAGAAGAAAAACAATCGTTACATAGATACACATGATATAAGATAATGTCAAGAAACGATCAAAAATGACTTGAAATGTTTCAATGATAAATATTACTGTATCACATAGCCATTTTATCATCAAGAACTTTTAGAAATTTGCTTTTGCCATGAACTTTTGATGATTCTAGATGATATGTAATAACTTCTGTACAATTGAGTTGCACAAGTTGAGGAAGAGCTTTGAAAGAATCAGAACCATGTTCTTTCATACTATCTAGAAATATGAATCAATTACTCGAATTTTTAATTGATAGATTGAATGTATTATTTAAAAAAATTGCTCAAAACTCACTAGTTTTTGAATCGATTTATGGAAAAACTCATCAATCTTTTGTGTATCAATATATAGATCTCAAAGAAGTTAATTCAGTGTTATCAGAAATAAAACTAGTAAAACACAATTCGTTTTCTCCGATTATTTTTACTTACTTGTAGCATTGAGTGCTCCAATAGCAACTAATGGATGATAGGGTATCGATTGCGAAAGTATCGGGACGTCGTTTGAGTTTTTCATTGTCATAGTAGTAAAATTTGATAATGTAAATTGACAAATAACTACACCTGCGTCAAATGTTGCTTTTTCTACTGTGAATACTCCACCTTGTGCTATTCCAGCTGGAAGAGGATGTTGATGCTTGCCAGGATTCATAAATCTGCTCATATCAACCGTATCATTAACGAGTCGTCGACAAACAAACACATGAGCTGGGGCCTAACAAGAAAAAAAACAAATCATATTCACTTAAAAAATGTAGCCATGACAACGAACCATCGATCGATTAAGATTAAGACCAATAGCAGCCCATTGGGCAGCTTGCATTTTGTAGATAGCCATATGAATTCTTGTGATATTTCCAACTTCAAATGTCCATGTTACATTAACACCAACATTGCCAGTGGGTGAAACAAGTTTAGTTCCGATATTTCGATGTCCAGTAGAAGATCCTTTAACACGGTGACTGATCCCTGTTTGGACCAGTACAAGAAGGCACAGTATTGCTATAATATATTTCATCTAGAATACATGCGTAAACATTCTTCAATTACACTGCATTTCAAGAATGATGAATGTACTTTTGTAAAGTCATATATATAGAGAGAGATTGTCTATTTACCAACAAATGGAATTTGGCCTCTGTGTTATCTGTGCTAAATAGTATGATGAAGACACAAAAAACGATATGACTCAGTTCGAATGTTGTGCCTTTTTCTTCTTTTTAATTTCTTGCTTGTTTATCATATGAAAATATTTAAATTTGATGGGTTACTATTAGCCAATTTTAGTCTCGCCTATTGAATATCACATTTTTTCGTTCGAAGTAGTATCAAAAAGGTAGATATCGTTAGTAAAAGAGAAAAGAATTTTAAAAGCGTTGAGTCACTCATAAAGATACGTACGTGAGCAACACTTTCGAAGTATTCGTATTCGAGTACGAGTTTACTGATAGTGATACTCGTACGCGAGTATGAATTTACTGATAGTCGTACTTGTACTCGAGTACGAATTTAATGATACTCGTACTCAAGAATGAAGTGAATAGAGTGATCAAAGAGCTCTCGGAATTCACTGCATTTTGCTTAGAAGACCGAGACCCCATCCATTTCTCTATACTACATATTAGCGATTGTGGTCGCACTACTCCACAGAAAGTTTCATCCTTTTAACTCATTCCTAAGGTACTGCTTATTTCTAAATCATAGGTACAAATTTGATCATTTTGGTTATTATTGCTATTCATTTGTAACAAATGCTGACTATCTAGACTATCTCTAGTTCTTCATCAACATCAAAAGTATGACGGTTCAGTCTTTATTGATTACTTCTGGTGAGTCCTAACTTAACTCTGCGCACTTAAAAGCAGATAGTACTGCTACGATATCTGTTGTTCAAAGAATCACCGAGTAAACCGATGGGATGATAGACCATGACCACCCTTCACTGTTTTGCTAAACCAACTACTAATAATTAATGTCTTTATCACTCGGCACCACAGGCCCGTAGCCAGGAATTTTCCAAAGGGGGTGCCCGACTTGTTAAGGGGGTGAACACCAGTAAGAAAATAATTTTTTGCTTCGTGAATAAAAGTCTCATCCGTACCCCCCTTCAAGGTTTTCTTTCGCCAAAGGGGGTGACCGGACACCCCATTCACCCCCCCTGGCTACAGGCCTGCGGCACCATGGAAATAATTACATTATAAGTAATGACTCATATATGTTCAGAAGTTCGAATATCTTCCTTTTTCTAACACTGGTACGGATTAGTGTCGTTTGAAGGATGAGTTTTACCTCTGAACCCAAGCTTGGATACTATTTTCGATTCAATGTTATAGTGACAGACATTAGACTATTAGTCACTAATAGTACCATTTAAAAACTGGTTGGCACCTAAAAATCTTTTCAATTTCTTTGAAGTCCAAAAAGCTTCTGAAATTTAACGATAGTTGACCAGACAAAACTCTACTTCGAGCAAAATCTCAGAACCGATTTAGAAGCATGAAACCTTGTATTGAATATCAGGGTGTGAGTGAGGGTTTGGGTGGGTGCGGGTGAGGGTGGATATGAGTATGGGTGTATGATATTGTGAAGGAACTTCAATGGATGTGGATGTAGTTGTAGGTATGGGATGTTATGGGTGGGTGTGGAGAGAGTGTGGGTATGAGTGTGGATGTAAAAAAGAGTAATGAAAGCCTGTGATCCTCATCCACACCCTCACGCCGACACCTACACTAACACCCGCACACACACTCTCAACCACACCCACCCTAAATTTTGTATGAGTATTTAGATATTTAATCTATAACTTTTATTTAAAAAAATTTGCGCACCTATGTCTTTCGCGCAGGCATCGTGCGCGAAAATGTCATTGCGCTCTAGTGTTCATGGGCGCTAGTGTCGCGAGCGCATCTGTCGGCGCGCAAATATCGTGCCACGAGTGAAATGTTATTCACCGTCACTTTTCATGTGAATGATTGTTTGGCTTCGGTGTCGAAAAATAATATAGCGTCGAATACCTTGGATTATTACTTCGTCAAACGCTTTCTTATACGTCTCAGAAGGTAAAATATATATCAAACTAATCAGCAATGGTGGAATAAACGAAATGAAATAGCTGCTTAAAAAGAGCCATGGATCTCGCGCCGATTTCATGCAACCAGTAAAAAATGAAATGATCGGTCGTGGTAAAGAAAGTAGTACAAGAATAAGAGGCGATATGATCAGATGTTTGTGTTGATGAAATTGTTGAAATAAATGTTCTTTATATGATCTTTGTTGGCGAGTTGTTGAATGTTGTCGTGCAATAGAGATAATAATCGTAACAGCTGAAATAAAATTTATAATAAATGGGCCAATAAAATGAGTAATAGTTATAATTGAGTTAATAATTTGTATAGATGATGTATATTTCACAATACACCAATGTCGTTCTTCTTCTTGATCGTATATAACTTGACGATGGATAGGATCGTGTATGAATGTTCCGATTATTATTAATATAAGAACGAAAATGATCCGTCGAGCCATTCGCTTACTTTTCTTTTTGTCAAATTTAATGCCTTTCAACACAATTATTGCACGTTCAATGGCTACGCAGGCATTTAACCAATCGCCACTGGCCAAAAGAAATTGTATAATAAAATCTACTGCAACACAGTTTATGAATAATAATTCGCGATTCACAATGATTGACATTTGCGCTAGTAGCAAGAACCAGAATTTGTAAGTGAAAACACATAGAATTAATATAGAATTTATAGCTATGACAAGTAAATAGATTCCACTGCCAACTTCACGAAGATTGCCCAATAAAAATGTTAACAAAAAGAGTGTGTTAAAGATTAGACCAATAACTAACATAAAGGTGGTTACACCAATAGAAAGTTTTATTGAAGATCTTTGCCGAAATATAGATAAGTGTGGTTCAATTTGATAGCCTAAAATAGCGTCAAGCGAAAGGGTTAAACCATTGGTCGACAGCTGACATTTACTGCCATAATAGCATTCTGGACACACGCACAACGTTTCAGTTGGACAGTTTGGGTCATCTTGATAACATGCAGCGCCATTTTGACATTCGCTACGACCCCAACAGTTGTATGTTATATTAAAGTCAAATTTAAAACAATTAGCATGATGATGTTCATTGCATAAGCACATGAACTGTTCTTCATCATAGAAACATGACAGATCAGGTCGTTTATCGCAAGGAATGTGGTAGTATTTAACACGGCGAAGAAGAGGATACGTAGTTGTTACGTTGTCATCGAATAATTGACGAATATGAAAACATTGACGTGAAACAGAAATTTCACCAAAAATAATTCCGGAAGATGTAAGCGTTGAATTCTTTTGAAGATAAGTAAGGTAAAAGTTGGACTGAATTTGAGCAAAGAGAAGGTTAAAGGGCTTTGCTACTAATAATGTTACTTCATTGACAACTGATGGTACCTTTTTCAGTGTAGTTATTCGTGTCGGGTCGGCTTTCTTATTGACTGTGATGAAATGAACAATAATTGATTGTGGAATATCTATTTCTTTGCTAAATGAGATCACAATTTTGGTTTCTTTTAGTTCACAATTAAAACCCCAGAAACCTTTTGAACACATACAAGTAAAAGAAGGATGCGACGATATGCGTTCATCGGTTGGTACACATACACCACCGTTTTTGCATGTATCAGTATAACAGACAGATTGGAGAAAACATCGAGGACCAAGTTTTCTCAATGGACATACGCAGATGGCTCTATTTCGAGTGACTCCGACACAAAAAGAACCGTTCGAACAATTACAATTTAAGAGAACAGTACAGCGTGATCCTGACCAGCCTGAATAGCATTGACAGTAATAAGATTGTTCGAGCTGATTGATATACTTAGTGCAATATCCATGTACACAACTCATTGGACATTCTCTCACCATTACACTCTGTTTCATAGGGAGGGTCAAATGAAATGCGATTCTATAAACCGGAAGAAAGGGAAACTTTATAGGTAGAAGCCAACTTGCATAATGAGTAGGATCAATTCGATTATAGGAATCGATCCGTACGGTATAATTTTTTGTCTTATCTTTTGCTGGACTGTCATATAATAAATATCGATTAAATTTTGTATTGCAACTAGATTTTGGCAAATAAGTGAAGTAATCACTGGAATGAATAACATCGTTGTTATCAAATAGATTAACTACAAAACTAAATACTTCTTGAATATTTTCAGGTATCGTTTGCCGTCGAAATTGTAACGTAATACTGACCCGATCACTTTGGTATTGACATCGATCGCCATAATAACTTTGTGGACATAAACAGTACTCCTTCCTCTCTAATTCCTTTAAAATCAAAATACCACGATTACATAACCAAGCTTCACAAGGACCCAGCTTCGATGTAACGTTATCAGTTTCAGAAGAACTAATTCGAGGTAATAAATGAAAGTCTGGATTTTCAATCTCTTTAAGCGATAATCTGCTTTGTTCAAATGATTTGGATGTAACAGTAAGAGGTAGAGATTCGAGTCCAAAATTACTGTACGTAGGATTTCGAAGCCAAAATGATGATAATGGTAGCAATGCGTCTGCTTCAGTTTCATTTATCTTTTCATCTAGACAAAGATAGTCAGGTAATGGTCTAAAATAAATAGGGGTGCACACAGGACTGTCCCAACATTTATATCTCCAATCCATTAGTGGAAATACAGAACGACAAAAAGCTTGTTCATCCGTTGCACCCAAGCAATCTTGAATATTATCACCAATGCGACTGATATTCAAACAAAACTTAGTGAACGTATTGGGTGAAATACATGGCATATGATTATAAGGACAAGTGGACTGCGGACAGTTCCATTCATCGGCGCCATTTACACATGTCCAACTCGTATCACAACGCGTATATTGATTGTTGCAGGGCCACCATTCACAATGATTTTCGTCAGTTTCTTGATCTTTTGACAATCCCAGTAGATCGTTGATTTGTAGATAACTATTACAAAGTGTCGGAAATGCAATTTCATAATTATATGAATTGAAATTCAATAAATCAGTACCGCAGTGTATAAGTTTGTTATTAAGTATTGCTGAGATTTTTATACAATAATCAGAGTCTTGCGAACAATTAACACGATGTTTGTCGTGAAAAAAACATGATTCATTATGTAATTCATCATGATTTTCAAAGCAATCAATTACACCATCTACGATTCGATGTTTTGAAATGTATTTTAACGTGGCTGGGCAGTTGTACAAATAAAGACTTAGATAATACTTGGAGTTGTTTGACGATAACGATGCATCAATAGTGAGACAAGTATGAAATAGTTCAGGAATAGTTTTGTATCGACCCTTGTCAAAATATTTCCATTCAAAACAGGAATATCCATCTATATATTTATCTTTTGGGAGAAACGGGCATCGTTTTTCATCAAAACATACGTAATGTGGAACGATATTCCCACCGTCAGTTTCAATTTTTAAATTGGTAGAAAATCCATATCGTACGTGGCCGTCAAAGACTGGATAAACAGGAAACAAAAAATCTAGTGAACAGTTATATTTTACTCTCTCCCAACAAGTCTTCTTGTTCGTACATATCTTGCTACAAGTCAGTATCTTCTCGTTTAATAAGCATACCATTAACGACCAACAGTCAAAAGAAATTGTCATGTTTTTGTCATATAGTAAGAACCAATCTTCTGCATTTTTGCCGCGGTTGTTATTACAAGGCATATGCGACATTACAAGGCGGAAAGGAGAAAGAAATATACTGGAACATTCACCATCTCCACAGGGAAAATTCTTGATTGTATTTAAACATGTACGCTCCTCACATCTGAAGGAAGGATATAGAAAACAGTCGGAAAATTGCGTCATTACCATCTTACGCTCATCACTACCGTCTAAACATTCAGGATTAAATGGATCATCTCGAAGAAAACTATCCGAAATACACATGCCGTTATAACAACGGTATTCTTCATCAGCACAATCATTAATTTCGAGTTCTAAACAATTCTTCTCATCTTCCACACTGTCAAGACAATCATTTTTACCATCACAAATTTCACGCCAATCAAGACATTCTCCTCCAATACGATTGCATTTTATATGAGTATAGCATGTCACATTTATATAGTTACGAATGTCGTCGATGAGTGATCTTGCTTTGCCCATAAAGCTTTCTCTAACGATGTCGTTAAACGAGAAGTTTGACGAATGAAAGTCAAATGTATACTGACAAGATGAACCAAACCAAGGAGCAGTGCAGTTGTAAAATAGTTCTTCTGCCGCAATCGGCAGAATATTTTTCGATAAAAATTCTTCGTATCGCTCAACAAGATCGATAGGCGCTGACCATTTTAACATATCTTCCGAACGGACATGCTTCTCTTTTAACTGTTTGAACGGTATACCTATCGGTCGTATCTGATTACTCATTAACTGAGATGGTTTATTGTAAAGCGAACGCATACAATAAGTTATCATATGTTCTGGAGGATTAAGTTTTTCATTATCTGTTAACTTTTCGCCCGGGTCCAATATGGTATAATCGATAACGGAATCGTATGCTGTATAGTATAAGCAATCATAATAGTCATCTATATCATTTGTAGCGAGGAATAATCGATCACTTTGGTAAATATTAAATGAAAATCGAGAATTCTCCAAAGAACAATGACGAAATGTTAGTTGAAAGATGAAAATCCAGATAAATCGCATTTATTCTATCAGTTACAATATTTATGGCTTAGTAAAATAAAAAAATTATACCAACGATAACATACATGTACAAACTGAATAGAATATTACTTGGTATTAATACGCGCAGATTGCAGAAAGTATTCAGTTGCGTTCTATTCTGTTGCTACTTAGAGAGGGAAAAGAAAAAAAATCATTCGGCTCTTTTCAGTATATACTATTCCCAGTACTGACATTTTTTGAATGAAAAGATAAAATACTTAACATTATTAGATTGCTCAGCTAACATTTTCAATATGACAGTTTTGTGATAAATTTTTCTTTTCCGTTCTTTGTAAAATATTTGCACTTCTTCATCTAAATTGAAATATTCAGCAATAATTTATCTCTAATACTTATATCATATGCATTCTATCACACCAATATGAACATTTTCTCAGAGTTTTCATTTATTCATAAACCATATTGCAAGGGGAAAACAGCTAATTTACATCACTCAAAAATCAAGGGTGTGAGTATGGAATGAGGGTCGGTGAAAAGAACAACGACACTCTCGTTCTCATCCTCACCCACACCACACTCTCAGTTACATTAATTTTATCAAGTTATTTACCCATATGAGCTTCGAAAGATTGCCCAGGTTCATACCGAAGAAATATTAAACGTTCATTGAGTTGAACTGATTGAAAATTGTTCCATGTTTTATGAGAAAATGGTTCAATTCTTTGCAAGGGAATATTTGTTACTGATACATCACCAATAATACAACGATCACTATTTCGAAAATCTTTCACTAATACTTAATTATTACTACCTACATCTACTGTGACTGGGCTACAACCACATTGTTCACTCAAATCAATCTATTGTTGATATTTTCACCAAGAGTCAATATATTAAATAAGATAAAAGCTAACCTATCTTCATCAATCGAATTTGGTAAACATACATCACGTCCGATAATTTTTTAGCTGAAAGTTGTCATTTTATGCAAATAAATGTTAACACGCATGCAAAAAAAACAGTATTTGCATTAATATTACAAAATTTTATTATCATCGTTTACAACATGTGTTACAGTAATATGAGTCAAGGATAGATGACATGCGTCTATGATAATAAACTTTTATTAAAAATTATTGAAATCATAGTTGTCATAGATGGTCGAGTATGTGTGCGTACAATTCAATATTTTTACAAATATCTATATGATAGATAAGTTTTTCATTAGAACTAATTGAGTGGCAACGACTATTTTTAAATCCATTTGAGTGAAATAATTAAAAAAAAATTATTTAAACGTTTCAGCTTCTTAAAAAGCCACTATCAAGAATTTACAAATACTTACGTTAGACATAACGAAAACTTCATTCAACAATAAATAAATGAGAAAATAAGATAACTAAAAGTTAGTATTCATGCTATTAAAGATATTATACCAAAGCGCACACTCTCACCCATATTCCTCAAGATATTGATCAAAAACATAATCTCAAACAGTTCATTATGATCTGTTAGACGGTATTAATTTTATAAGGATATTTACGCGAATATATAGTTCGAAAAAAAATATTATTGTATTTCATCAAAGGGTGTCATTATTAATCTAAAAACATGTTGTTGTTGTCCAGCATTTCGATTTTCATTTGAATGAGCTAATGTATAACGTTGTTCACATTTTTCACAAAAGATCAATGAAGGACAATGTACACAATCGAATCGAATACCACGTACAATTTCATGACAACCATCGCAACTAGAAAGGAATAATAAATCCATACATGATAACTATAATTATTTAAACTTACGTAATATTTTCATGAGTAATAAGTGGACTTTCCGGACGTGGTAAATCATTAATGGTTTCTGTTGATTTTCTCACAGTTGCTGCTTGATATTGTTCAGCTTCATCCCAAGTAAATTCTTCTCCACAACCAGATTGAATATTTCCTCCATGATAATCTTGTCCACATATCATAGATTCACATCCTTCCATACGTTCAACAACTCGATGACAATTTGGACAATGACGACAATTTCTTGATTTATAGTTTTCATCTTCTACAGCTGTATCGTACCGATGGCGTAATTCTTCATTTCGTTGTCTATTTTTTGCTTGTTCTCGTTCATATTCAACAAGACGAGCTGCATAATCAGCATCTTGTCCTGCTCGTTCAGTTAAATATCGACCACGTTCTTTAAATAAAATTATTCAAAAATACAAATTTTCAAAGCAATATTTCACCTGAATTACACCAGAAGAACCATCGTTCGGTGATTAATATTAATTGTTGACAATCTGTTCGATAATGATATTGTTGATTACATAATGAACAAAATTCCTTTTGACATAATTGACAAATAACATGAAATCGTTCATTTGGATCATTCGGTTCAAATGCCCATCCCAGTGAAAAATGACCATGAAAAAAAACGGTATAGAACACGTTCCAAAAAAAAAGTCAGCTTTTTTTAAGAAAAAAAAGCGTTCCATAAAATTTGGAACGTGTTCCAACATGGAACGGTCAAGAACACATTCCACTGTTTCTGGAACGGCCAAGAACACATTCTACTGTTTCTGGAACGCTTTTTTTCAAGAAAAAACGAACGTTTATTTTTCTGGAAAGCATTCCCGATAATTATCATCTACATGCACATTCTCTACAATAATCTTCAAAGAGAAGTAAGTACAAGATTCGTCGACAGACCTCTTCCAATGCAACTTTACGAGCTCTATCCAACGGCATGCTCAGATTTTTTGTAGCTTAAACTATAGAAATTATGACATGAAATAATTTTTTTGAAAATTGAGATTGTCTGCTGGGAAGTACAACCTAGCGAATGTTCTTCCATTTTTTATGTTAATTTTAATATATCGTACTTCAGCATAGGCAGTTTTGAACCAAAACTGGCGTTAAATTTAGATGAAAGTGTTCCATAATTTAGAGAACGGCGACGGATTCATTCTACTCTTGTTAGGAATAATATTTGGCTATCTGGAATGCATTTATCAGTTCAAAGAATTCGTTCGCAGACGTTTTTATAAGGAACGTTAAAGAAAACGATCTCATTTTAATGGAATCCAATTCTAATCGTTCCAAGAAAGAATGATAAAAAACTCATTTCACTAGGTTTTAGAACGGGCTAGAACGCTTTCTGATCAGTCGAAGAACGATTTTTGAATCGAGAAGAAAGCGTTCTATAATAATATGGAACGGCAAAGAATGCGTTCCACTAAATAATAAATATTTTTTTGCCATTAATGAATGCTTTCGTTAAACTGCAGAAAGCGTTTTCCTAATGCAGGACCAGTTTCCATGTTTTTACGAATGCGTTTTCTACCGTTTTTTTTCATGGTCATTTTTCACTGGGATGAACATTGTTGATTTGGACATTTAATTAAAGCACGAGTTTCACTAGCATAACAACGATCAAAAGTTTTTTGAATTTGATATTGGATAAAATGATCAAGTTCTTCTGATGATATACGTAATTGTTTCAATTCACCATATTGAAATTGATAGGAACAAAGTGCACATGTTAAGATTTTATTAGTGACCATTTGATTTCGACATGATTTTTCATAACATTGATAACATAATTTATGACTTTGATCACAACCAAATACAAATATATCATCAAAAAGACAAGATTCCATACATATATCACAATCATGAGTTGGAAGTTCCATTGGAAAAATATCATCTATTATATAGGAAATGATTGAATGAAAAAAGAAAATAAATCTTTACCAAATTCAGCAAGTTGTTCGACAATATTTAATGCATTTAGAATTTTTTTCGTTTTCTTTTGAGTTTCAATAAAAAATTCAATTTGTTGAACACTAAATGGATATTTTGTTCGAGATAAAATAAATTCAACTAATTTTTGTTGTCGTCCTGTTTGATCATGATGACATTGTTGAGAATGTTCTTCATACAAAGTAATCTTCTGTGGACAATAACAATATTCACATGGAAGAAAATCTTCTGGATGACAAAATTCAATATGTTCATCAAGATCATTGATATTTTTAAAGTCAATATAGAAATGACAACTAGGACATTGAGGACGTTGTTGATTTTGAATCAAAGAAAGTAATTTTTGGTACATTCGTTGTGTTAATGGAATACATATAAGATCATAACGCGATAATTGATAATTACAATGAATTCTATGACACATAGGTGTTGTTTTAGAGATTAAATATTCATTCATTGATTTACATAAACATTGAAAACAATATAGATGATGAAATCGACATGGAATTAAAAATCCAGAATCATCATTCATATTTATTATAGATGAACTATATAGACGGGGAATTATTTTAGTTTTTAGATTTTTTTTATGATTAACTTACCAATTAAAACAAACATCATGTTTTAGTTGATTAGTTGTCTTAGGTTGATAACTATTAGGAGTTGTAGGTAAACACGATTGTACATGAGTTTCATAGTTCATTTTGGGAATTAATTTAAAACATAGAATACATTCTTTTTCATCGAAATCATTTATTGTTGAAGACAAAGACTAAAAATATTCATTGCCAAATTTAATAATAATAGTGAATTTCAAATAGTACAAATATTTCCTTTACCTGATCTGTAGTTATATTTTGCTCACCATCATCGCATTGATTGATTTCATTTGATATATTGTCTATCTGAGATTTAGGCGTTACTGAATCATTATTTAATTCTTCTAATAATTCAGAAGTTGAAGAAGATTCGTTTGTTTGACTCATTTCTTTTCACATTATATGTGGTACTGACATTTAATTTTATATATTTTGTTTTCGAAATCGCAATTTAGTCATACTTACATCATCATACAAATACACATTGAAACTTTGCATCAACGTGTGTAATGTATTGTGCAATAACATATGACTCATTTGTACCATTAAAGTAGCATATTATTATAAGGTAGTTTCCAATATGACTCTACGTCAGATGGAATTATCCCACATGAAAAATAGAAGACACAATTACTCAAAATTCAACTCTATGATCTATGGCTCTTGGGATGGGTGTGAGTAAGAGTGTGAGAGTTTGTCTTTCTCTTACCAATTCTCACACCCTCACCCTCATCGTCACACCTAGATCCGGGGACAGAAAATACAGTTGAAGTTTGATTTATTCTAAAGAAATTTATTTAAAAAAAAGATGATGAACTACTTTTACAAATCAAAAAGAAAATTTCTACGCGCTGGCTTCAATCAAAGTCTTATGATGTATATTAATCCAACAATGGTGTAAAATCTGGATCTCCCTTTTTCATAGCTCGTTGATAACCAGAACGTGCACCAATTCGTTTTAAATAAGCACGTATATTAGGGTAGGAACCTAAATCGAGTTTTGAAAAGGCACGCATAGTTGTTAATGGAAAAACCATCATAATGTCTGCAGAAGTAAATTCACTTCCCGCAAAATATTCATTTGTGCTTAAATGCTTTTCTGCTAGATCCATTGCTCGAATAGTACGTTGTCGTAATGTATTGACTACAGGATTTTCACTTTGCATATCTTTTGCTAGTAAGTTAGCAACTAAATCAACAAGCATAGCTGGCACCATTGAACCATTTGCAAAATGAGACCAGAAAAGATAGTCAGCAAAATTTGGATGATCAGCTTTCAATGTAAAACGATTATTACCATATTTAGCAATAATATAATCAACAATAGCACCGGATTCTGCTAATAAAACATCTCCATCGGCAATAACAGGCGCTGTTCCAAATGGATGCAATGCTTTGTATTCTGCTGGTGCAAGACGTGTTTCCGGATCACGATCGTAACGAACAAGTTGATAGGGAATTTCAAGTTCTTCACATAACCAAAGAATTCGTTCCGATTGTGAAATACCAAGATGATGAACGATTAACATTGTCTAAAGACTAGAATTTATCGAATGAAATAGTCAAAATTTAATCCCTATTCAGGCAGACAAGGAACAAAAAATACGGCGTTTCTGCGCGTAAAAATGTGTACTTTTCACGCGACGAAAAAAAACATTTTCTTCAAGCGTATAAAGCGCACATTTTTACGTGTAGAAACGCCGTATTTTTCGTTCCTCGTCCGTCCGGTTGCCCGTGTACACAAAATAAAATCGACTCTTATCATATATTAAAACATAAGCACATGTGATAAGAAGCATACACACACAAGCGCATTACATATAAAATTACGAAGAAGAAAGTTAGATGGTAATTTGAATATCGAATGTAATTGCACAATCTAGAAAAAAATCAGTTTTTATAGTCACAATTGCAATGAATCATGTGGTTAAGTCAAAAATCTTAAGAACTTTATCCTAACGGTTACGTGGGTTCAATTATTTAGCCCATGAGCAGAATAAGAAAAATTGAATATGACTTTGATACTCGTTTATTTTTTGCAATAAACAACAATTCTATACAATATTTTTATAAAAAGTAAAAAACAAATAACTATGAAATTCTCGCAACCATTGCTCGACTAAGTAAATCAGCTTGTCGTATTGGTTCACAAATACGATATTCAGTTACTGACTGAAATATATTTAATGCTGTTTGTAATGTTATTTTATGTCCAACACTAATGTAAACAGCATTTTTCACATTACCAGTAACATTATAAGCTATACCAAGAATATTACCACTATCATCTGTAACTTCAACATATTGATCTTTTTCTGGTGCTTTTTCAATTAATAATTTTTGAATTGTAGATCTTGTAATACTATCAACATAGAGAACATTTTTTGATACACCAAAGCATGGAATATCACTTACAACTCCAAAATGACAAGCACTACCAGCACGACGTGGATGCCAAACACCATTTCCATCGATTAAAATAACTTGTGGTGTTAAATGAGGACAACGTTGTTTTTGAATATCAAGCAATCTCATATAAATTGGAGTTTCACGAAATGCTAAATAGCCAGGTATGTATGGAATTTTAATCACACAATAAATACTAATTTTAGCTACAATATTTAATGTTCGATAATCAAAAATAACCATAGATGCCACAGCTTTATCATTCCCTTTCACAAAACTAATATCCAAACCAGCAATGAATCTAATGGGCTCATTAATTTGATCAATATCAGTAATAATTGATGGAACCATATCTTCTTGTTCTCTAAAAAGGAATTGAATTCATGATAAATTATAAAATAAAAATCATTATTAGTTTTATATACTTTGCCCATATTGGTAATATTTCATCAACATTTATATCATTTCCAATTTCAATACAATCTCTTATTACAATATTTAACCATGTTGTATTTCTCTTTATATATAAATCTCTATTTGATGTCATGTTGAATACGAAAGACTAGGATATTTCTTTTTTTTTAATTCATATTTTTGACATGTTAACAATTTATAGTCATATGACATAGGAAGTGATGTTACACTTCGTCAGAATCATTACTACTTGGTAATAACCTATTTGCATTACAATTTCTTGCGTCAGATTCATTTTTATAAATAATATCACTGTATAGAAGAGTAAATATGAGTCGTTATCGTGCAACAATACAGGAATGGATTGAAAGAGAGTCGAATGAAAATATTACAATTGAGACAGATGTCGTGCGAAATTGAAAATCATATATTTATTCTGGCAGGATGTGGGTGTGGGTCAAAGAAGGACACAACAATCATACCCACACCCTCAGTTTTGTTAACTGTGAAAAGTCCATAAAACACAATTGTCAGTACTGCGCATTTTGTGTTTTTCTTTCTCACATGGTTAACAATATTCTACTTTAGATAAGATAAGAAGCGAGATATTCGCTTTTCTTTCATTATCTTTTTCGTTACACGTACTTATTTTGCCTGTGTGAATTGTGTCGAGTTACTGATGGCCAACGATATCATCCAAGAAATCAATTTTTTTACTCCTCCTCAAGACGGTTCCGCTGCATGGATGGATTTCACTCCTACACTGGTCACAGGCAAGAAGAATTTTGAGCCGATATCTTGTCAAGTGACCATTCATGATTTACGGAACAAGGAAAGTAGCATCGATCTCGATACACATGGGTTTCAAGTGCTGAAATATGACGGTGACATACATAATGAATTCGACAATGACAGTGAGATGCAGCGATCTTACTATGAAGACATTGTTGCTCTGCTTAAAAAGCGTCTAGGTGCTTCCAGTGTAATCATCTTCAATCATATATTTCGTTTCCGTGGATCGCCGCTTACTCCATATCAGTGCGATTCGACTCACAAAAATCCTGGTCTGGACGCACACGTGGATATTGATCCATCTGGAGTTCCTTGGAAAGTAGAACAACTACTCGGTGAAGAAGAGGCTAAAAAAGCTATGCATCATCGTTTTCAGATGATCAATATCTGGCGACCAATAGGACCCAATCCTGTAATGAACATACCGTTGGCGCTCTGTGACTATCGTTCAGTTGACGTCGACAAGGATATTCATGTAGTACAGCATCGAGGAACTCCAAATAGTCTCTCGGGCTATGCGATGTCGCACAATGCTCAAGGTGCTCAAAAGTGGTACTATCTGAGTCAAATGCGATCAGATGAAATGTTTGTTTTCAAAATATTTGATAGCAAACCCGATGTTGCTCAATTTGGTGCTCACGCGGCCTTTATTAACAAGAATGTGCCTCCAACGAATGTCGAACAGCAAAGCATTGAAGTGCGTTGTTTAGTTTTTTATGACCAATAAAAAATGAATTCTTAATCGATAGGAGCTGCTCAAAATTCACTCACTCGTGGGTGGGTGTTGGTATTTGAGAAAGATCTTACGCACACCCACACCCACACCCACCTTAAGATAGTTTTATGAACATATTTAAAAAGAACATGAATGCGCATTAAAGAGAAAAAAAAACAAAATTAAGATAAAATTTGGGTTTTAGTGTCTATTAAGGAAAGAGAGACTCATCCACACTCTTATACGAGACTGTGCAGAGTTCTTTTGTTTTTAATATGCTTTATAATATGCGTTGAATTGAACTTGTGTTTTATTGCCCCGTCGATAAAACTCAGGACATACATGACGTTCGAGTAAAAATGGAATTGATTTAAATGTTTGCTGAATACCATGAGCTTGAAAAGTATCAATATTATGTGTATATTTGATTTTAATATATATATTTAAAGATTTTAAATGTTTCCATGATGATAGAAATTGTACCCAATTTCGACTATCGAGAAATGATCGATCAGATGGGGATCCTGAACAATCGAATCTTAAATATTGTAGATTTTGAGTTGCTTGGGAAAGTAAATATAAAAATTCAAATTTCGTTGAATGAATTTTTAAGATGATTCTTGATAAATAGATTAAATTATCAATAGGTTCGTACATAATATTAGAATTAATATTCTGACAAGTTAAAGAACTATTAAAATATCGAAGATAAGGTGTATGTCGAAGAATATATGAATAGAAATATGAAAATGATAAATTAGATTTTGATTCAATATCTAAATATTCTAAATTAGATATGATATCTTCATCATCTTTTTCATAATTTGAAGGAGTAATTTCAACTCGCCGATGAGATTGCGAGATTTTAATTTGACAATATTTTAATTGTGGAATTCTTAGAAGAAAACCAATGATTAATTCTTCATGTATATTTGTAGCATATTTAAATACAGTCAAAGAATGAAGACATACAAATTGATTTGGATTTAACATTTGTAATAGATCATAATCGTAACATTTCAAAGATTTTAATTGTTGTAAACAAAAAATTGATAAAAGAATGTCAAGATCATTGTGTTCATTGAGCAATGTACAATGTAATAATAAATGATAATCAGTTAATAGTCGATTAAAATAGTCATTTAAATTATAAAATGATTCAATTATTTCATAAGCATTCAAATATTCAAGTATTGAAATATGTAAATCACTACTTAAATCTTCGAATATAGTTGGTTTTGTAAGCGACATATTATGAAAACTATTGGTAGTTTAAAATGAATAAAAATAAAAACACATGCTATTTGGCAGAGGGTTTTTTCCAAGTAAATTGCATGAGTCATACTCTTTTTTCTTTCGTTTGAGATAAAAAAGAATACTAAACGCACATCTTTTTTTCGAAAAAGGAATAAGACATGAGTCAGAGTCAGAATCTTGAGGGTGGATATGGATGTGGATATCCATGCTATCAGCAAACACCCACACCCACGCCCACACTCTCAAATCAGACAAAAGGCAGCTCTTTGAATATGCGTATACTACAAGAATGATTGAAGAAAATACAAAACTTTATTTCTTTCTAGTTTTAAAAATGTTTGTTCATTTATCAGATTGTTGATGCTGTTCTAGTTGTTGTTTGTATATTTCAAGATTATTCTTGTGGAGCAATGTTTGAGGATGTTCTGGTGGTAAAGATTGTTGATCAATATTGAAAGCTTTTTCAGCATACTCAACAGCTTTTGTATATAATTTCTTGTGAGACATTGTATTAGCAAGGCTACTGTATGTACATGCTATGGATGGATGAATCTCTGGGAAAATTCTTGTTTGAATCGCGAGTGCTTCATGACATTTTTGAAGAGCTTCATCGTGTTTGCCTTGATCATTAAGGATTGAAGATATATTAGTGTGCAATATAGCTACCAGTTCTTCGTCCTTAGTTTCTTCTGTATCACAGATTTCGATTGCTTTTTGAAAATATTCAATAGCTTTATCCATTTTCTTTTGTTTACGATAAAGAGTTGCAATATTGTTATATGTTGTTGCTTTACTCGATACTCTGTCCTCTAATGTAAGCGACTCATTATAATAATGCAGTGCTATACCATACTGTTGCAATTCACCTTTGACCATTGCTAGATTGTTGTATAATACTGAACGAAGTTGTGGTGAAGTTTCCATCTGGAGTGCCATTAAATAGAAATATTCAGATTTTTTCCATGCTGCTAATTGGTACATTAATTTAGCAAAATTCAAGCAATTATTACTGTTTTCCATAGACTTTTTAAAATGTTCTTTCAAAGCAGTAAGACGCTGGTCATGCTCGTCTGTTAATGTCAAAGAGACAACCCATATTCCTTCGTTAGATAAGTGTTCTAGTGAATTGATACGAAACACTGATCCCATGGAAAATAGCCACTCCTTTTCGTTTTTAAATTGGCTATTAGCAGCTATGTTCGCTACAGGAACTCCCGTATTTTTCTCGACTGTGATTTCCATTAAAACGCCTACTTTCTTATTATTTCCAGGAGGTGGCTTAGCAAAACCAAGAGCAACTTCACGATCCACACTGGTAGAAAGAAACATTGACGTAGATAAAAGTCCACCTTTGTTTTTTTTAAGTTGCTCAAAATCTTCATTGTCCATTGGTAGTCCACGATACAGTTTCTTTCCAGCGATACTTTCTGTTGCTTGTATTTTTGCGATTTGTTCATGAAGATGACGAATAAATACGCGCAGAAGATAAAGTGTATCGTACTGATGAGTGCGAAGAGCTTTATTCAGCATACGATAAAGAAATTGATCTTGAGTGTAACACCAGATGGCTTCATTAGCAGTGTAGGTTTTTCTGAGTTGTTTGATAAATGTTTGTGCGTCATCATTTTTTCGATATTTTTCTTCACAAAATTCATACATATCTTCCATGTTCTCGTCTGGTACTTTTAAAACAATGTCTCGAAACAACTGATCGTACATGAACATTACTTCTTGTTGACTCTGCTTAGATAAATTTTTTGACAATGATTTTTCCATTATTTCAAAGCTTAAAAGAGTGCTATCGATGTATTTTACATCTTTGCCTAATTGTTCGCACAACGATACTAGAGTGGTGTAAATACCACGAATTTCTGGATATTGACTATACCAAGATTCTTCTTTTACTTTGTTTGGATTATAAACATAGATTGATTCGAGCTGCTTTTCTTCGTGTATATTTGAAACAAAGTTCTCTTCGACTGCGCCTGAGAGAATTACAAAAATCTTTTCATCTCTGACACTGGACATGAATCCTTGACATTCTGTTGGATCCGCAAATATTTTGACAGAATTCACAATTTGTTGCAATTGGGTTTTTGATTCTTGGCTGACCTTACTTTTGCCGTCCATGGATTGATGCAACCATACCAGAACACAATTTTCGACGTTATCTACTTGCGGTTGTGCCTTTTCAGTTATCGGCTTTGCGTGTTTCGGTTTCACAGGTTTCGGTATAGGCAGCACGAAAACCTTATAACCCGCTAAAATAAAAATCAGATTAGAACTAAATCCAATGGGGAAAGAGCGGAATCCAGATTCCCGATGATTCTTGAAGATTTCATAAAACCATTTTAAATGCTAAGATTCCGCTCTTTACTCCTTGAAAATCATTGTGAAACTACATGTTTCCTCTCGTTACCCCGGAGTAAATCTATTCAAACCTGATTTTGCGCGAATAAGACGTTGAGATGGTGGTAATTTATTATCAAATCTTCCATTATTTGTAAATATTTGCCAATCAGTTTTTGCCACCTGATATCCACTCTTAGGTCTCTCTGTAGCCATGAATATTTCAGAGAAATAAGTTTACAGAATAGCAGAATACTTGAATCGAATTTCTTTTTCTTCCAAATGACTGCAAAAATTCTTTTGCATTAAATTCAAACATTTTATTTTTAACCATAAAATGTTTACCTTCAGTTTCGACGAAGGCCAACTTTATACTATTGTGAATTTTGCAGTAACAAAACAGTTTGTTATGACTACATAATTCTTCTCTTTCTTTCTTTCTTTCCAACTCTTTTTTCGTTTATTTTTACTTTATGTACATATCAGAACATTATCGTTCTTTATAAAAAAAAAACAGACGATTGTATTGTAGAAATTGTTGGTGTTTTTTGAAGTATATGCAACCATCAAAACTAAATCAAAAAGTATACGCAATCAGTTTATTTTCTATTTGACATGTCTTGAAGAATCGTCTGATAAAAAGGACTGAATTTTCTTGAGGATGTTGGTAACAGAATGAGCGATACTCACATCAGTGTTTTTTTTCACTCATTTTCAGTTAATTATTACTTCATCAACTGAGGATCTGTCGTCGCTCATATCAAGTCTAACTATTATTTGAAAAAAATGAAAGAAGCATAGAGCTGACGGAACTCCGCAAATAAATAATAAATTCTCAATTTCTTGAGTTATTTTTACGAGAGAAAAAAAAGCCTTGGATGTTTTTTCGCCTCTTATGAAAAATTTGAATCATCAATGAATTTGTTTATTTTTGACTCGACAGAATTTATTGTACAATGGAAAGATGCGAAGAGAAAAAGTTTACTCAATTTTTTTCATTACTCACACATGTTTAACATTGTCTAGTTACTTATATAGGTAAGAACGAATGTGAGGATGTGGATAAGGGTAAAAGAACTATATTGATATCATACTCACCATCAAATCATTCATCAGTTGTATGGTGGGTGTGGATGTGATGTTGATTTCTTACTCAAACTCACAGCCACACTCAGCCTTTAATCGTACAATTCGATGTTACAGATATCAAATATATGGTCAATTTTAAAGATTTATTTCGAAAAAAAGTTGGAAAATCTATTCAGAGTTCATTATATAAGTATTAGTCATTTTTGAAAGATAATATTTAAACTCCAGCTTTTTCCAGTCTTGATAATTCGATTTTTTGGTCAATATAAATCTAAAAAACAGGAAACAATTACAAATAAAAATATAACAGATATCAACATACTTTATTGAGTGCTTGCAGGAATTCATCCATTCTATCAGGAAAATTTTCAATTGGATCAAAATATTGTGAATGCATTCGACAATCTCGTTCTTCTTGAATTTCTTCTTGATTTAATTTTTTCAGACCTAAAATATTAATAGACAACTGTTTTACTAAGATACGTCAATCTTAAGAGTGTGTGTCGAAGGCTTTTCTTCAGTCATACTCACATCCACCTACACCCGCACCCTCAAGAGAAGCTCTGAAGTCAACTAATATGAAGAGGTCTAGATTACAATCTTCAGATCCTGTTAAATCTGCTTATAGGGCATGAATGAAATCTCGATTGACCTGAATAAATGATATAAATCTACGTACCTGACCATCGTAAAAATTTCTTTAGCATAAATGATAGCATAATTTGATCTTCTTTTTGATTGTCTTTCGCATGACGAAAGCCATTACTAATTATTGAAACAAACATACTTAAACAAACAAAGACAACTAGAAAAATAAATAAAGCAAAACAGAATGGACCAAGAAAAGCATCAGCTGCCATTATTTGTGATGCATCGAATTTCATTAATGTCATTTCAAAAAGCATTTGAGCAGTTTCTAATAAACTTGAACATGACGAAAGTTTTGATACAAATAATAAATAAAATAAACAAAGATATGCCATAAATACAATTGCAAACATTAGTGAAAATGAAATCAGCTCCTTTGCACAATATTTTAATGTTTCAGCAAATAAAGATACTCGTTGATTAAAACGAAATAATTGGACAAATTTAATCATACTAAAAAAACAACAATAACCAAGAAGAAATGTTAAAACATCATTAACATAAACTGCAAGTTGTAAATTTATATAAATATAACCATTTGTTTGTTCAAATAGTTTACTTATACGATTTGTTTCTTGAAAACGCCAAAAATAAACTCCAATACTTCCCAATGAACAACCAATGATACCGAATTGGATTAATGACCAAAACTGATGAAAATATTTTAATCTTAATTCAAATAATAAACGAATTTCAACGATTATAAAATAAATAATAAAAAATATATAAATAATTGTACAAACTAATTGTAATATCGATTGAAATGCTAAATTTAAAAAACGAAAATTTATTTGTCTTTAGAAATAAAAACTAAAGAGTGAATTACTGTAGAAATTAATTGGTTCGAAACGAGCGGTTGTGTAAATGCCACTTGTTGGTAAAAATTCAGCAAGTAAAGTAACTGCAGTTAATAATTGAACATTTGGATTATATAATGTTAATTGAATAAAAACAGCTCTTGTTTTCTCATCAATCCATTCTAATTGATGAAGTTTAGATAAATTTGTTTTCATATCAGATAAACGACCACGAAATTCATACACATAACCACCTCCTCTATATGTTCCAAATTCACCTGCATACGTGTATGTATCTAATTCATCACTCGTAGAATAGTTAAATGCTTTTTTAATCGATGAACTATAGATTTCATCTTCTATTGTTTCATTTGTCCATCCTGGTTGAAATAATTGTGTTTCTTCATTAAAAAAACTATAACTATCTTCGCATATTGAAATAATACGTTGGTCGGAGCATAATTCCGGTTTAATACGTAATTGTCTCATCGTTGCCCAACCAATTAATCGATTAGATTTATCATTTAAAAATCCATTTAAATATTGTGGAATATCTCCATTATACCACTGTTGGGCACGAATATTTGAAACAAAACTATTTTCTAACCAATACCAATATTCATCGATTGTATTGATCTAGAAAAACAAAATTTATTTTTGATACAAAAAAAAAAGAACAAACATTAGTATAATCAACAGTAGTTTGTCTTTGATTGAGAAAATAAGTTCGTAAATGATTGACTTGATAAAAACTATGTTGTTCACGGTTTGAATAAGTTATTATAAAAACTAATAATGCAAATATAAAATAAATAAGAAATTCTCGAATAATTTTCCACATTTGAATTTCTTTTAAACGTTGATCACGAGCATTAGCAATTTCATTTTCATTAAGGCGATTAATACTTTTTAAAGATGGAGAAGATAATGATTGATACTAAATACGAAAAATTTATTTTTCTATGAAATTCTAAAAGATAACAAACCTCAAGTGAATGAAGATACTCCTCATCATTAGATATATTAAATTCATCATCTTCATTTATGTATTCCCCTGTTTCTTTCTCATCTTTTGAATTTCGACAAAAACATATAAAGAATATAACCAAACATATAATCTGTAATAAAATGTGTTTAAAAAATATAAATTAAAAGAAAATAGAAAATATACTTTAATAGGTTGAGTAAGAATAACTGATGAGAAAAACCCAGTAAGAACAGATGTTAACCATTGTTGAGTTTTGACATCGCCAAATTCAATTCCTCGAACAATGATAAAAAATATTGAAACAGCAATAATTATCAGTGAAAGACCATAAGCAATAAATAAACACCACCAAGGAAATGTTATTGAAGATTTTTTTTTCTTAATTACAGGGACATCTTCAGAACTACTATAATTAAGAATGTCAGTGTCGATGAATGTATTTAGAAATATATACGAACCTTTTTCGAGATGGTTTTATCTTATATAATGCTTCACGTAATCGTGAAATTTGTCGACGAGGTCGAATACGTCGAAAGAATTGAACAATTAAGAGATTTGGAACCAATGTAAATAGTTCGACCATTATACCAATTCCAATCTTAAATATAAAAAGATGTTTTCATTTATTAGAAATTGAAAATTTCACAGGCATAAGGATGTGGGTGTAGTCTATTTTTGTTTCGCTATAAAAATCAATATATACCTGTTGTGGTGCTATATAAAAAGGACCAATTGATAAAGCACCACTATGTGTTTCACTTGATGCCTTCGCTTCATTTGATAAATCATAGTACATTATATTAAGTAACATTGAAGTAAAGAATAAAACAAAACAACAAGTACATCGTTGAACACGTGTAAATTTATTTGATGGTGGACGAGAAAATATTGAAAACCATAAATGACCATCGGATACACTATGATAAGCTTTTTTCGATAATACATATGAAAAATCTTGCTTTTCCGCTTCGCTAGCAATTGGTAAAGTTCGTTCAATCTAAATTCAAGATAAAAATAAGAAATAGTATGTTTTCAATTACACGACTTACTCGTCCATCATCTTTTTCAACTCCAAGCCATTGTTGACAAATAAAATAAAATTTATCCATACTTTGCAAATCTCGAACGATAATATATTTTAAATACCATGATGCCGAAGAACCTACACCTGAATTATCATGCCAAATACGAATATAATCCAGTAATCCCAATGATCTAAATATTTATCTTTTATAAAATCTAAACAAAAAAAATTTTACTTTGGAACAGCAATAATAAAAGAATCAATTCCGCCACGTTGAAAAATCTTTCGATGAGGATCAGAAAATAATCGAATCTGTGTTTGATCAGTATCACCGGATAAAACAAAATAAACCTTGCAGAAAGAAACAAAAAAACGTTTCCTCAAATATTTTCTTTATACTATTACTTTTGAATCTGTTCCTGCATTTGTTCTTTGACCAGTAAAAACAAGAATTTGATAATAATAATGATCAGATTTATTGTTATCAGCTAATGGTGTTACTCCCAACTAAGAAAAAGTCACAAATTTTGATTGTATGAAATATATAAAACAATATATTTTAGTTTACTTTTTCAAAATCTTTCTTATCTTTAAAACGTGCATAAATCATTAAAATGATGTAAATTACTGAAGTAAATATCATTGTTAAATAAACTGTTTTATTTTTCATAAAATCAGCATTTGCAAAAACATAACTCCAATTAATTGGTGTAGGTAAAACAATAAAACTACCAGCAAATGTTGTCAAATGAGTTGAAAGACATTCAGTTTCATAATGATTTGTCAATGATCCAACCTATAGTTAAATAAATATTAAATATTATTTATTTTCTTAATCCATCTTATACTTACAATTAATCCATCTGATTTCCAATTATTATTTTCATCAAGATAATAACAACCTGATGTATATATACGAAGTTCATAATTTGATGTAAAATTAATTGATTCATCGGTAATTGGTAAAGACGTATTTATTGAAGAATTATTTAAACAATAATTATTCATTTCTGTTGAATTTAGTTCTCTTATTCCAAATATTAATGATTGATGAGTAGGTGTTTGTTGATTATCAATAAAATATCGATATATATCATCATTGGTTAAATCTATAATTACAAAAAAGAAATCTAGATGAATCTTCAAGAAAAGAAAACATACTGAAAGGACAAAATATTGTCCATCCATCAATAAGATTAATTGAACTGTTTAATTGTGGTGTTTGATCAAATTTATAAATAAATAAATAAGCAAGACTTCTATTTAAAGAATGAATTTCAAAATGAATTGAAATTGGAAGTGAACTTGTTATATTAATATAATGATAATTGAATAATAAATTATTAAGAGTTGAATTAATTGATGTAATATTTTGTAAATACATTGATGGAATTACTAGATTTGGATCACGAGGAATTATTAGTTTTATTGAATTATTTTCATTGGCTTCAAACGAAATTTCATTTCCATTTTGATCAATAATTGAAAGTGACATTGATCTTGAAAGATTTGTATTTGAAAAATTTCCAAATGGAGCAAGTACATCCATTTTTGACTAAAAAAATTCAAAAGAAATTCTTTAAATATTGTTTAAAAAAACTCACTCGAAGTGAAATAGAGGAGTTATCATTTGTATTCAAAACAAACTCTGATGGAATATGAAACTGAGCATTTCCAATTTGTTTTACAATTCTATTTGAAAGCGATTGAGTTGATATTGTTTCTAATGACATATATGTTTGAGATGTATTTATTATTGAATTTTGACCAATATTTAAATGAATATTTAATGAAGATGTTATTAATGAAATAATTGATGTTACTTGTGTGCTAATTTCATTTGCTAATTGTTTTTGATAATATATATTTCGATTTTTTTCAACTGATGCTTCATCACCACCGCCAAATAAATCTTTTAGAAATAAAACAAAAAACTAGAGATAAATCATTTATCAAGAACTGTTACTTGTATTTGACCATGCAGATTCAAGATCAGTATCATAACCAGAAGATATTACATTTGCACGAGAATAATCTAAATCAAGTGTACTTGTTCTTTCTTGTAGTGGTCCATTTACAGCCTAAATTAATTATTCATAATTCCACAGATTAACAAATGATGAAATTGCTCTTCTCAAAATATCTGATTTTCACAAAAGAAACATTATCAAAAATCGCTCTAAGAACGTGTCTCTTGCTAACAAGAAATACGAATATTTCTTTTTCAGTAATGAAAGTATCGACTCGAAAGACGGAGATATTTAAAATTTTCTATCTCTGTTGAGTTTCTGGCTTTCCTACACTTAGCGAAATTTAGCTATACAAAGAATCACGTTCTATAGAACATTATTTTAAAATCTGAAATTTACGGTTAAGACATTTGAAGCACATTGTATTAGTTGATTTGCTGCTACTTGAGCATCTTCATATGGAATTTGTGTTGCCATTGAAGATAAAGCAACAGATAATTGATAACATCTATTTGATGCAATTGACTAGAATTATATAAAAATATAATTTGAGAAAATGATTTTATCGATAGTACTAGAGCAGCTCTTGTTAATTGATTTGTTGATTGAGTTATTTGCGCTAATGCTGATGATTGTAATTTGATACTATTTGATGTCGTAATAAGAAGATCAGTTGTAAATGTCATTAAATAATCTCGAAGATTTGCTTGAGCATTTAATATTTTATTATATTCAGTCAAAGTTGATTCATTGAAAGATATTGAATTCTATAATAAAATAAAATCAAATAAATGCAATTCAATTCAATTCAATGTATTTACTACTTGTAAACTTGAACTTCCTAATGATGATACTAAAATAGTTGCAGCTGGTATTCCACCTAAAAAAAAAGATTGTTTTAATTATCTATCGTAAACTAAATGTTAATAATTACTTGAAATAGCTTGATCTATATTTTCAGTATTCATTTGATTGAATTGTTGAGCGATTGCAGTAATAATTTGTCCCACAATGTTTTGATTTCCACTTGAAAGTAATTGAACAATTTGATTACTTATTAATGCATTTGATGAACTTTGTAGACTTGTAATTAAATCATTAATTCCTACAGAATCTACAATAACATATACAGAAGACATATTTACTTCTACAACACAATCAAGAAGATCGCGAATAGAAATAATAATATTGAGTAATGATGTTTGATTGTCTCCACTTGGTAATCGAACTTGAAAATAGGATACTGATGAATATGCAATCATTAATCTTTGCGATACATCCGTAGTCCATGCTTAAATTATAAGAAAATTGATTAACATACTTTCTCTAGGATTAAAATAAATTCTATAATATGAATTAAATTCTGAATCTACAAAAATCTATATTTTGTTCAATATTTCCGAATAAAATGAGTGAAAAATGCATCGTTATTCTTCTATATGATTACAAAGTTAACACTACGAGGTCTATCTCTATTACGATCGACCTGTGAAGGTGTAACGATCATTTGTGACTCATAAACGATATACGTGTGAGATAAGTAAAAGACATTCACATCTTTAGATACTAATCAAGTATCTGAACTTTCCCTCTTAGCATCATCATCAACGTTAACAGAAGGAAGAATTATATCAATACTAAACGAACTATTACATAATTTTGTTATATTAAAAAGTAACTATACCATATAATGAATAATCTTTAATTCCATCTTCATCATACCAATCTGGACACGTAATAGTGAACAAAGTAGTTGTTGTACCATTCATCGGATTAATTGAACATGAACCATTATAAGGAGGTTGATTAATAATAAAATTTAATGCACTTGTACTTGTTTCATTTAAAAATGTATAAACAACTTCAAATCGCCAAAGATTTATTTGAGGATTATTGAGAAATAATTGATTTGTAGCTGTAAAATTACTTGTATTTTTACCTATAAAAAATAAAATGAATATAAATATTTCTTAATCATAAGAAAATTTCTACCAAAAAACCATATATTTTCATATAGAATCGTATTATTAAATAAAGTCCATTGAGTAGAATTTGAAGATGTTGAATTGTCTGATCCTTGATAAATATTCCATTTAATACTTTGAAGATTTGTACAAGTTCCAACACAAAGAGCAAATAGAGCAACTTGTGTTGTTGGATTAACAAATTGATATTCAAGATTTGGAACACATAATATTGATATGACACAACTATATTCAAAAGATTTCTTTTTAAGATTTAAGTAGATAAAAAAATTTATTTACCCAATAACAATTAATTGTGGATGAGTATCGTCAACTGTAACAAGTACATAACCTGTCGCTTGAATAGATGAATTTTTACGATTCTCCATATAGACCATAAATTGATAGATTTGATTTGATTGAAGTGAGCCACCGACAACTGTTAGAGATGAATTAGGTGATGCAGTTAAATTTCCGAATATTAATCCTATTCAATTACAAGTTCTTTTATTTCGACATATTAAACTAGCGGGAAATAATATTACCTGATTGATTTGATAAACATGATGAATTATAAGGATCAGTCTTGGAGTTTTCAATTGTCAGTAATACGCCTTGAAAATTTGGAAAATTGTATGAACCATAAACTCGACAATAGTATTCATATTTCCATTTCTATAGTCAATAAAAACAGATTTATTAAAATATCTGTAAAATGACAAGAATTAATTAAATAGAATATCTATTGATCTCGCTAAGAATCTGACCACTATTCTTCATACTTTTAAAACAATTTCTATTGTTTTCGATCTTTTGGGTCATTGGGTATATTCATATGATCACCTTGTCAGATTTGATTTCTACTACTCATGGTTTTACTCATATCACTATACTAAAGTAAAACTAATGTATCATAGTCCCATTCGATATGATCTATTTTATAATCAATGAAGGATAAATATTACTTACACTCGCATCAAATGAATCTTGATCGGGATCAACGGAATATGCTCCAGGATCAAGTTGAAGATCTTGTTGACTACCACGTGTTATCATTGATGTTCCTAATTGAACAAGATTTGCTGTTATGCCTGTTGCAGTTACTCTTACATACACTGAAGATGAAGATTTAAGATTAAGCGATTCAATCATTGTGACAGTTAATGTTAATTCATAAATTCCATAATCCAATGTTCTTGATGGAATATAAAGTTCACTTAATATTGTACTAATTTTATTACTTAGTTGAATTTGAAATGAACATGCCGATGTACAATTTTTGATAATCCATTTAGCAGTTGTTGAAAGTGAACCATTACAATTAAATTGAATCATTGAACTAATAGTAAAATCTTGACTACGTCGATATGTTATTGGAGATGACAACGATGATTGTCCAGGAATCAATGTAATCGTTGGTGAGTAACAACCTAATTTAGAAGAAAAAAATCAATAAACTATTTTCTATACTATTTATATCATTACTTTGACGGATACTTAATCCTTGAGAAGTTGTAATGGATGTCGTGCTACTTGAGGTACTGCTACTGCTCGTTGTAGTACTAGCGGTGGTGGTAGAAGTGCTACTTGAAGTGCTACTGCTGTTCGTGGTAGTACTACTTGAAGTACTGCTAGTTGTGGTGCTGATACTGCTCGTAGTGGTACTGCTAGTGGTGGTCGTGGTAGTAGTGCTACTTGAAGTACTGCTAGTAGTAGTGGTAGTACTACTTGTGGTACTACTGCTCGTAGTGGTACTACTGGTGGTGGTAGTCGTAGTAGTAGTGCTACTTGTAGTAGTGCTACTGCTCGTGGTAGTACTACTTGTGGTACTGCTGCTACTTGTTGTAGTACTAGTGGTGGTAGTGGTAGTAGTAGTAGTAGTACTTGAAGTACTGCTGCTTGAAGTGGTGCTACTTGAAGTGCTACTGCTACTCGTTGTAGTACTACTTGTAGTACTGCTACTACTCGTTGTACTGCTAGTAGTGGTACTGCTAGTGGTGCTACTTGAAGTACTGGTACTGCTGCTACTTGTTGTAATACTTGTAGTGGTGGTAGTAGTAGTGCTACTTGTAGTACTACTACTGCTTGTAGTAGTACTAGTGGTGGTCGTGGTAGTAGTGCTACTTGAGGTACTGCTGGTAGTAGTAGTAGTAGTACTACTAGTGGTGCTGCTACTGCTCGTAGTGGTACTACTAGTGGTACTGCTACTGCTTGTGGTAGTGGTACTTGTGCTGCTGCTGCTACTTGTTGTAGTACTTGTGGTGGTAGTGGTACTACTAGTGGTGGTCGTGGTAGTAGTGCTGCTTGAGGTGCTACTGCTGCTCGTAGTAGTACTACTGGTGGTACTGCTGCTACTCGTTGTAGCGCTAGTGGTGGTAGTAGTAGTACTACTTGTAGTACTGGTGGTAGTAGTAGTAGTGCTACTTGTGGTACTGGTGGCGGTGGTAGTGGTGCTCGTAGTACTGCTACTGCTTGTAGTACTCCTACTTGTGGTACTGGTTGTGGTGGTAGTGGTACTTGTAGTACTGCTACTGCTTGTAGTCTTAGTGGTGGTAGTAGTAGTAGTGCTAGTTGTGGTACTGCTGCTGCTGCTCGTAGTAGTAGTGGTAGTGGTGGTCGGTATTGCTAAAATATAAAACAACTATGCTTTATTCAATCAAATTACAGAGAAGTTATACTAAAAGCATTAGTGTGAGATTAAATAATTCAAGCAAAATTTCATTTGATTTCTATCAATTTTTCAAATAATAGTCGCAAAAAACTAACTATCAATTACAACTTCATAATGTACTATTATATACAAATAACTTACGACAGCTGTTATTTTGAAGAGCGAATTGTTGCACTCGACTATTATTTCGATCAGTAACATATATATTTCCATAGCTATCAAAAGCCATACTTTGTGGAAAAGATAATTGATACATAGTTGAGCCACCTCCCGAACACCCGACTATACATCGAAAACCATAATAACTTGAAGCAACAATACGATGATTATAACTATCGACAATAAAAAGATAACCATTAGCATCAAGGACAATTCCAGTTGGATAGTTGAGTGCAATATTTGCTGATGATCCATTACCAACGATTGTCAATCCATCTAACTGACCAGTTTGAACAAATTGAATACGATTATTAACACTGTCTGCAATATATAAGTTTAAATTACTGTCAACATAGATTCCTTGAGGAGAATTAAGCATATTTGATAGTGATCCAGCAGAACCATTACCGGCTGCAATTGTCGGAATGGTTGTACCATTATTAAGTAAAAGTTTAACAACTTGATGAAGATTTTTAAGGGAACAATAAAGATTATTATTAATATCAATAAATAAACCATAACAACTTCCATTAACATTCATAACAGTTACACGATTTGATGAATTAAATGTATATTTATCAACTCGACCATATGAATAACCATTATCAATATAAATATCACCAGTCATAGACATAAAAAGACTGTATGGATTACTCAAATTACTATAACTATTACTTGTTGATGTAGTAATTCCTTGAAGCCATGATAAAATAGTGTTACTAACTCGATTCGGTACATACACAGTATTAATTCCATTAATAAAAATACCATAAGGTAATGTACCAATTGTAGTACTTGATCCAAAAGTTGATGCATTAGAATACCATAAAGCATTTGAACAAAATGTTGGTTGATTATAAGAGATACCTAAGATAAAATAAATTGAGATCATCGAAAACATAAATTAAAAATAACTTACTACATGAATTTGATGCTAATATAAACTTTTGCACTCGATAGTTAAATCTATCAGCGACAAATATATTTCCATAACTATCAAATCTTAAAATTACTGGCTGATTCAATTGACTTGATGCAGAACCAGCTATTGTCGTACATCCAAATAGACATCGAAAACCATATGGTCCTGATCCAATTATTCGATGATTAAGAGTATCCGTAATAAAAAGATATCCATTATCATCTAATATAATACAATTGGGCTGATAAAGTGTAATAGTGCCTGGTGCACTAGCTCCTGCTAAAGTTATTCCAGTAAATTGTCCAACAGGAAACATTTGTATTCTATTGTTATTACAATCTGCAACATATAAATTAACTTGAGCATCGACAAAAATTCCAAGAGGCGTATAAAGTGTGGTCGCTGTTGAACCAGCTGCACCTGTACCAGCAACAATAGTTGATGTAAGTACATTATCATTTAACCATTGCTTAAGAACTTGATGAGAAGTATATGCTGAACAATAAAGATTATTACTAATATCAACAAAAATGCCAGTACATGCATTAGGAACTGACATTACAGAAGTACTTATATTTGAGTTGAATGAAAACTTATCAACTCGACGATTATTGTAACCATTATCAACATATATATCACCTACAGGGGTAACAAAAAGGTCAAATGGTGTACTCAGACTACCAGAAAGAATTTTATCTGGATTAGTACTTCCTTCGAACCATACTAGAACCTTATTAGTTTGTGGATTAGCTACATAAACAGTATTATTAATACTAACAAAAACACCATATACGTAAGTTCCAGCCGTACTACTATTAGCAAATGTAATCGCATCTGTATACCAAGTCGTAGATGGACAGAAGCTTGGTTGATTGGTAGTTGTACCTAAAAAAAATTAATTAAAAGAATTATTGATGTTATCTTTCAAACATATTCATCAAGTTAAATATTTCCTAATAGAAAAATATTAATCGTATGGTCGATCTTATAAAGATTTTAAGAGAGTTCGATAGTTTAATATAATCAGAATCAATTTCACTATTATGTCTTCCACAAAAAAAGAAACTAAAATTGGTTAATTGAAATAAATCTTTTCAATTAGATTTTATCATAGTTGTTAAATTTTATAAAAAAAAAGCTTTTATTTTACTTACTATAAATATTACTTGTTACATAAAATTTTTGAATCCGATGGTTGTATCTATCAGCAACAAACATATTACCGTAACTATCGAAATTTAAACTGGATGGATAATATAATTGATTAGATGCTGAACCAGCAACAGTTGAACATCCTACTAAACAACGAAATCCGTTTGGTCCCGAGCCAACAATACGATTATTCAAATACTCTGCAATGAATACGTAGCCATCTGCGTCCAAAACAATTCCAGCCGGACCACTGAGACTAATAGTTCCTGTTGCTCCAGTTCCGGCTATCGTTATTCCATTTAATTGGTTTGATAGGAATTTTTGTATCCTATTATTGGTATAATCAGCAACATACAAATTGAGATGTGTATCAACAAAGATTCCGCGAGGATCATAAAGCGTATTTGATGTTGATCCAGCACAACCTGTACCAGCAGCAATTGTCCATATATTTGAATTACTATTTAATGATTTTGTATTAACTTGATGATAATTAATCGGTGTACAATAAATATTATTATTAATATCGATAAAAAGAGCACAGCACATATATTTGACGGTCATTACCACAGTACTGTTTGTTGTATTTAATGCCCATTTATCCACTCGACTATTTGCATAACCGTTATCGACATAAATATCACCATTACTCGTAACAAAAACAGAACACGGAGTATTTAAATTACCGGAGATATTTCTTGTGAGTTGGCTACTACCTTCACGCCACACTTGAACACGATTTAAAGAATACTCACTTACATATACCGTGTTATTATTATCAACAAATATACCGTAAGGATATGTTCCGACCAGGGTGCTGTCTGCTAAAGTTATTCCATTGGAGCTCCAAGTACTATACGCAGTGAATTTTGGCATATTGTATGAAATAGCTACAAAAAACATACATTCATTAATTTCCTATTTATCAAAGATACACCCACCCGTTACACATCTACGTTCTTGCCCTCAACTTTTTTTAAGCAAAATTCAAAATAAAACGTTTTCTCTCTTTATAAAGACATAATCAGAGACTGAGTTTATTTATTTTCTATTACTCTTTTAAAACTATTTCATAAATAATCGAACTATTCAAAAACAAAATTTCTATCTTATTAAATGAATGCATACGGTTTAAATATGGTGCAGTTGTAGAACTTATTCCAGGAACAGTTGTTGTTAAAGAAACTAATTGAGTATTATTCATTGAAGTTACTATCAAAAATAAACATAAACTATTAGTAAAAAATAAATCAATAAGAAACTATTTGAAAGTACCCGTGGCTATAGTTGTTACTGTTGTCGTTCCATCTATAAATAAAAATACGATTTTATATTATAATATGAGAGAATTAGTTTTAACTTACTACATGAGTCTGGTAACAAAAGAAATTTTTGTACTCTATGATTGTATTCATCGGTGACATATATATTTCCAAAGCTGTCAAAATTCATGGTATGTGGATAATATAATTGGCTGGATGATGAGCCATATCCAAAGCATGCCGCTACACACCGAAACCCATTAGGTCCTGAGCCAATAAGACGATGATTCCAGCAATCAGTAATAAACATATATCCATCAGCATCAAGTATAACTGAAGTTGGATCAAGCAATGTAATACCTCCTGTTGCTATTGTTGTTCCGTTCAATTGTCCCGATGCAAATTTTTGAATCCTACTGTTTGAAGTATCAGCTACATACAAATTCAAGTTAATATCTACAAAGATTCCCCATGGATTATAAAGTGTAAGCGATGTTGATCCAGCTGTACCCGTGCCGGCGACAATACTCCATACATTTAAACGTGAGTCCAATGACTTCGATACAACTTGATGAGACAAACTCATTAAGCAGTAAAGCATATTATTAATATCAACAAAAAGACTGTAACATTGTCCACACACATACATTGCTGGAATACTACTTGTTGAACTCCATCCCCATTTATCAACTCGATAATATGCGTAGCCATTGTCAACATAAACATCACCGTTGTCCGTAACGAAAACGCTATAAGGCCAGGATAAGCCACCAGAGAGTGTACCTGTAAGTATTGTACTTCCATTAAGCCACACTTGAACCCTCCAGTTCGACTGATCAGCTACATAGACGCTGTTATTTGTATCAACAAACATGCCTAAAGGATACGTGCCAATCGTGGTGCTCGTGGCAAAAGTTATTGCCGTCTGGTTCCACGTTGCATTTGCACAAAGTTTTGGTTGATTGTATGAAATACCTATAAAAAATCATAGAACTATGAAATACAATTTGAATCGTAGTGATCATCATAAACTCAGAATCTTACACTTAAAATCTAACTGTTGGATTTAATACGATGTTTGCCGAATTTTTGTCGACAGATATCTTAGTGATTCTGTCAGCTAGATTCTTTCGAAAGAAACTCGACAGAGGACTCTGAGAATATGTATATCATATACAAGGAAAACGCTAATTTTTATATATGATCATTTCTCGGTTAGAAAATAAATCGAAAGTTTTTATAAAGATTATAATAATGTGCCCAGACATATCTATTTCTGATGAAAGATAACTACACGAAGTTTATCGAGTTCTTACCTGATGTTTGCCTAAAAATCAGTAGAAACAACCAAATATTGCGAAAACCAAACAATATCATGTTGAATATCTAAAATATAATTCAGTTTTATATTAAATGGATAACAGTATTGAAAGAAAAATTAGGTTGTACAGAACGGTTCTACTGTAAAACGTCGAAAATTAAAAATGTCGAAAAATGGCGCTACCTACCACGTCTCTTTTTCGACATTTTACTATTCGACATTTTTACTTTCAACGTTTTACAGTAGAACCCAGCGCTCCTATATACCTCTGAAATATGATATTATACAATGCAAACAATTATAAAATAAAAATATCTGACTACCAGGCTTCGTTGAAGTTAATCTTGCCTTGCTCCTCAAATTCACGAAAACAAGATAGAATTTTTCTTACAATTCTGTTCATTGTCTTCTCTTTAAATGATAAGTAGCATACAAAACTATATTACGACGTAGTGTATGACACTAAGTAGTTCTGCATACCTAAAAATGATGACATGATCAGTTAGTGGAACAGAAATTTAAGGATTGCATTTATACGCTAGATAATACAGATAGGAAATGGTCTGTACATCTAAAAGGATTGAAACTTGTCATCGTATTTCCATAAACCTCTTATACCTCCTCGCTTCTTATCACTCTTCAAATAATATAAAACTAATATTTGTGATGTCCAGACTAACTGAAGATCCGAATTCTTTTTATTTTAATGCAACTTCTATGATACATCGAGAAAATATAATATTTTTAGGAGCTATACTATTCGTATAACAATTATATTTTTATATATCATAGATACTGAATAGGAAAAAATAGAATCGGATCCCCCGATAAGGCTGAAAAGCCCATTTATTTTAATTAATACTTGCTGTTGGATTTATCTTTGATAATAATCTAAGAAGAAAGTAAATAAAAAAAACAAAATTTATTTAAATTCATAAATACTTACTGATCGATTTATTATTATGAATAGTCTAAACATAAAAAATGAAATTTACTTTAAAAAACAATTACTTACTGTTGATTTGATCGATGTAAATAATCTACAAAGAAAAACAAAATTATTAATTTAATTAATACGTATTATTGAATTAGTCACTACATAATTCAATAAAATACAGATATATGGTCGATATTCTTCGACCAAACAGTGAAAAGTGAATCCACAAGCAGACAGTTTATTATTGCTGCACTTTTCTCTATGAGACAGAGAAGATGAACAACTATTTGTATTTAACTCGTATATATCCATACAAGAAAATCCATCTTTTCAACATATTCTAATATATATTTTTCTCCAATAGAAATAATTAAACTTTACTTCTGTAGAATCGGCATCTCTGCAATTTCTTAATTGAGAATATATTCAAACTAGTTGTTTAATTTAAAAAGTAATCTTTTGTATTTTTTTTCTCTTAATCATCAGAAGAAGAAAAAGAATATTCAAGGTGCGTTCAACAAAGATGAAGAAATGATTTTAGAGTAAACGTCTTGACGCTTTACTTATTTTTAATATTGTAATAAGAAAAAACTTTGCATAGTGCATTTTCTATAAATAACTTTCATATTCTAAAACAATTTTGTACAATTAGAAAACTATTCTTTCTTATACTTCTAAATAAAATATGGTAGCTCTTATGATATAATTCTATTCATGTAATGGAGAATAATCGTATTCGAATTTTTTTACTTATAATATCAAGTATAATACGTATTTCCTAGGATAACTTGAAAAAAAATTCTAATTAATATTTTTCTTTATATTTAGCTAATTGTAAAACTTAAGAAATAATACGTACAGTGATGAAACTGTAGATTTCTCGTATTTTTGAAAACAAATATTCTTTTGTTCGACTTCATAGCATCATGTTAATGATGATGATTCTATTTTCTACTTTTCATCGTTCTGCGTATGTCTACTCGGAAATTAAAAAAGAAAAAAAAAGAAAAATCAAGGATAAATAGAACATTTTGGTTATTTTTATTAAAAATCAAGGGATATTTAACGATACTGATCTTAGACAAGCATTTAAATTAAAAAATCATGATTATAAATATTAAACATCGATCTATCCTGTAAAAATGATGTTGAAATATGACAAATATATAGTTTAGCTGCAAAAAAAATCTCATTTGTGTAATTATATTTTTCTTTCAAATAATAAAAAGAATATGAGGAAAAAAATATTCATTTATCTCCATAGAAATTGTACAGAGAAGTATGATTGAGCCAACATATATAAAAGTTTATTACAATAATCTTTTATCTTCTCTATAGTTTTCTACAGTTTTTAATAAACAAAATCTTTGGATATCTGATTATTTATTTTTTTTCAAAAATTTTTTTTCTATTCTTCAATATGAATAAGTGTTGCATAGATATTTTCATTCGATAGTCTCTAGAATGATCCGAAAGAATCAAGATTGTTTTTTCTAAGATATGCAAAAGTCAGTACTTACCAAAAGATTTTTTTTCTGTTCAGAATAAAGTAAGAAATTTGTTGTGTATTTAATTTGATGAAACCTGTTTGTGAAAAGAAAAAAGAAGAAAAAGAAAAGATATTTTTAATATGAATAATTGTTGTCTTCTGATATCAACAAGATACAAAGAATGTTTTACTCTTAGTTACGAAATATTTCTTTTTTTAAACAATTAACTAAACTTTATTTAACTAGCTGATTGCGAGAGTCGTTATTTTTGTGCTACATCACCATAGTGTCATGCAAATATTAACAGAATACAATAATATTAAGTCAATAATGATCATGAAATACAAGAAAGTAGAAATAAGACACTATACTATTACAATATATAATATCCCTAGTTGATAATTTAGTTATTAAAACTGTTTAAAAATTCATGTCTTATTTCTTTTTTAACTTATTTTTCTAATTAAATAAAATTAAGGACAAGATTGAAAGCAATTGTGATAGTCATCTTTACTTCTATCAAAATAAAAAATGAATCTATTTTTATATTTTTCATTTTATTTTTGCAAAACAAAAAAGAATTTCTACAATATTCATTTGAAATATTCAACTCTAACTAATATAAAGATGATGAGTAACAACAGTAGAACTACCAGTTATAGGTTGAAAATAATGATTACCTATTGAAATAAAATCAACCTTTTAAATTCAATGTATCAGTTAGACAGTACAAAATCCATAGAGATCGAATATATTCCTGAATTAGTCATAGTATCCATATATGATGAATAAAAGTTTCATTGAATATGACATCACATTTTCACATGCACTGAAATATTTTTTTTATATCGAATTACACGTCACTAATGTAAAACGTCTATTTTCTTCACTCTCTTCTGATGTTTGCATCATACAGAAAAGAAAAGGAGAAAAACAACATACATATTCATGCATGGTGAATAATTCGTGCTGTTGTTGTTGTTACTAGACGTATTATATATATATATACGCTCGATTTGAATAGAAAAAATTATTGTGTATACAAACATCAGTTCGTGAAAAATGGGTACCACTGGCGATGTAACATTTTCGGTTGGTGAACAGAGTGAAGAAATTCGAAAAAAATTCTGGATAAGTAATTATAAAAAATGTCCAATGTGTAACAGTGAAAATATAGCTGTCAATTGGTCGGTATGTGCATATAGACAAAATGGAGATGGTAAACTATTGATTATATATTTTCTAGTGTGCAGAAACATATAATATTCTAATTTGTTAAATTTAGGATCGGGCACAGTTGTATATCAATGTCTTGGAAATGAAACGAGAAATGATGTCGAAAAAGTAACATGGGATAAGACTACAAGAAAATTATCAGGTGAACATGGTTGTGGATTTTATACATCATTTCTTTATGATGAAAGAGAATCAGGTGACGAACATTTTCAAACAAAGTATTGGAAAAAATGATAACGAATACACTTTCCTTCAATAAAGAACGAAATTAAATTGAATTCTTTTTTATTTATACTGAGGGTGTGAGTGTTATTTCTGCTTTACTCACACCTACACTCGCTCAGCTCTTTCTCGAAGAAATGGTATTTCTAATAGAACCAAAGACTTTCTTTAAAAGACTGATCTTTGTCTACAAAATGATTCTCAAAAAACTTTTAAAAATCAAACAGAAAGTCTCTGATATTTTTTGTCTTCTATTAAAAAAATTAAAATAGTTAAAGCAATTCTTTTTATTAAAGATTAATATTTTAACAATTGAATAATAGTTCTAAATAAATGCAATTATATTTTATTCAATGTTTTATTTTTTAAATTTATTGATTAAATAAAATATCGAATATAAATAAAAGAATCTTTTGATTTTTTTTTAAAAATGTTAAATGTAGAAAAAATGTTCAATTATTTTGTCCAACGACTCATCCAATCAAGTACTTCACGATACCAAACTATTGAATTAATAGGATTCATAGTCCAATGATTTTCTTTAGGAAAATAAAGTAATCGGCTTGGAATACCACGACGTTGTAATGCTGTAAATGTACTTATACCTTGTGTATCTGGTACACGATAATCATAACCACCATGTATAACTAACATTGGTTGTGTCCAATTAGCAACATAATTTACAGGATTATATTTTTCATATGCTTCTGGATTATCATATTGTGTTACATTTCCTAAACAATGTTCGATAAATGCTAAGTCGTCTGTTGAATAAGCCATTGCTTTCATATCAAATACTCCATCATGATTAACAAGTGCTTTAAAACGTTGACTCATTTGTGGATGTCCAGCAATCCAATTAATCATATAACCACCATAACTAGCACCTAATGCAATAGCTCGATGCTCATCAATATAATTAAATTGTTTTAAAGCAGCAGTTAAACCTAATTGTAAATCTTCAAAAGATAATGATCCAAATTCGCCTGTAATACTATCAGTAAAATTTTGTCCATATGAATCTGAACCATGAAAATTAATTGCAATGATAGCATAACCTTGTGATGCAAATGCTTGATAATTCCATCGATAACTCCATGCATCATACCAACTACTTTGTGGACCTCCATGAATAAGAAATGCAAGTGGTGCTTTTTCATGTGTACCATTTGCTGGTGGAATATGCCATCCCCATACTGTTTCATTTTTTGCACCCATAAATGAAAATTTTTCAGGTGAATAACTCATACGAACTTTTGATAATAAATTTTTATTATGATCAGTTATTGATCGAATTGATATGGATGATGAATAGAAATAAATATTTGATGGTTCAACAATACTTTCATGAACATAAACAAACATATTATTATTTACTGGATGAATATTAATACTATTTGATGTACCATTCATAGAAAGACGAATAGGTAATGAACTATTAGATGTTATACTTGTAAATGTATGAATAACATTTCTTGCTTCTTCACCTAATTCAAGAAAAAGTGATTGACCATCATTTGTCCATGTTATATGTTGAATACTTCGATCCCAATCTTTTAAAAGTGTTATTTTAGAATTTGAAGAATAATTAAATAATTTAATTTTATATTGATCAAATTCATAGGCAGCTACAGATTGTGATCGGTAAATTAAAATATTTTCATCAGTTGGTGAATAACTTGGATCTGTATCTGTAGCTAAATTATCACATGTAATACATTTACTAATATAATTCGATAAAGTTAAATCAATAGTATAAATATCTAAATTTGTTGACCATGCAACTTCACTTGTTTCATCATGTTGTCTTGTATAAGCAAATAAATTTCCTGTTGAACTAAATGACCATTGAGTTTTTCCTTCACCGAATGGTCTTGTTGGTGAATCACTATCAATACCGAATAAAATATCTTTTGGGGTTGACATAAATTCAAATATTCCTTTCGAATTTCGTTTAATTGAAACAAGAAATGGATGATGACGACGACCAGCCATAAATTTATCCCATTGACGAATAAATAATTTATCAAATTTATAAACTAATTCACCACTTAATCCTTCAGTTTTCGTTCGATTGTATGTTTCTTCAATTGATAAATTTGCATAAACTTGACAACTAAATGCAAGACGTGTTGCTTGTCGATTAACTAATAAATTATCAATATTTAATGGATAATCCGTTATCTGAATTGGTTCAATAAATTTTGTTAAACTTATTATATTATCTGGTAAATTAATTTGAAATAATTGGATAAGATCTGATTTTCGATTAGAAAGAAAAAGAATTGTTTTATCATCAACCCAATAGAACTAGAAAAAACAAAGAAAAATATTAAAAATTTAAATATATAGAAAATGTACTTGTTGATCATGTACTCCCCAAATAGGTTGAGTTAGTTGTTTAGTTTGATTTGTTTGTAAACATGTCCAATGTAATGTTGTTGTTGATCCATTTAAATCAGGCATATGATATTGTTTTCGTAAATAGATAACACTTTGTCCATGTTGAGGATGAAATTGTGGTGAAGAAAGACGATCCAAACGAAGATTATGTGTTTGATTAAAATCATATATTTCTGTTAATTCATTATAATAATCACTATTTGATTGATAATCATCAATATTCCATCCTGAAGGTATCGATGGATTAAATCCCGTATGTGACGAACGGATATAAACAACGATAGATGGTATACTACCAATAACAATACCCAATAAAAACACAATAGTTAACCAGATAAACTGAATAAAGAAATTAACAAATATTATTTTAAAAGAATTTAAAATAGTATTAAAAAATAGAAACCTTTCTGAATTTTGATTTTGATGTAATTCCCGTAGCATTATCTCGAGTAAGATAATTAGTATTTGAACCTGGCATGGTAAAGACACGTACAAATTCGAAGAATAAAAGATTAAGTATATATATACTTATAAGATCTACAAACATAAGTAAACAAAAGATAGTTCATTGTATAAATAAAGTATAGTTTCATTTACATATATGACTAGAAATGATCGTCAGTCACTGACATCAAATAACGATATACTTTACTAGTGCAATCATAGCATTTCAAATAGAAAATAAAACAAAAATACACCACGACATGAAAGGAAGGAAGAAAAAAAGAAAATATCTAGAACGATCGAATAATTGTTCTACTATTCGAAAAGAATTTTATCTCTTTCCTCTTCTTCGATAATATTAGAAAACAAGACGTCAAAATCATTCTGATTGTCTTTTAAGAATTAAAATATTCTTTTCAAATATAAAAATTTTATGTGATTATTTTAGAAAGTCTTTAAAAAAGTAACGAATGTGAAGAATGAAAATCAGATATGATGTGAAAGAATATGTTTATTACTTCTCTTTCATCTTGTTTTTATTTTGATTAGTTTATTCGATCTCAGTTTGTCGAAATGATCGAATTGAAAAATTTGAAATAATTTTCTGAATGAAGTTTTGATTTTGAACAGTTGTAAAAGATTTTATTTTTCACCAAGAAAAAGAAAAAGTAAAGTTTTAGATCTTTTTCATGCTGAACCAATTAAAACTGAATTAGCCAATCAACCTGTTAGAAATATAATATCAATGCTTTTGCTTCATCAATATCAAGTCCTTGATTCGTTCGTTATACCATTTATTGTTTTGTTTTTCTTTCTTTCGTTCTGATTTTTGCTAGGGCGTTTTTTTTCACGTGTTTATTTTTTATCTCCTTCTCTGCCGCATAAAGTATTCATAATCAAACCGTATTTTTCTCTTTCTGTGTAAGACTTACGTTATTATTGTACATCCATAAAACATAATATGTATAGCTTTTTGTTTTTGTGTGTAAATATTATGCGATGTCGCATATCATACTTTTAAAAAATTTAAAGAACGAATCTGTACATTTATACACTCATTACATGATTTTCTAGATGGATGAAGAAACATTAGCAAGTTCACGTTTTTCCAAAGGTAAAATCTATGGTGTACTACGTGCACAAGTAACTTCTGACAATGGTGAATATCATTCGGACAAATCAAAAATGACTCATTATAATTTAATTACGACTGATGATGGACCAAATCAAATGCCAGAACAATATCAAATCAATATCGATATTCAATCACGTGATGCTCCTAATGTTAAATGTGTTTCATTCGATTCATTTTCAATTGACAATTTTCAAGTTTCTGATTTACCATATGGATTCACTCCATTGAGATCGGACAGCGATGAGCCAATGGCAATAGATCTCGTTCGAAAACCTTTGTTTGATGTTAATCTTCTTACCCAATCTACTGCATTATCTGCCGATGAGATTGCCACGAAGCTCGATAATTATTTAAAAGAAGGAAATCCGAATGTAATTGTCTTCGGAACAAAGTATGATGATGGATATCATCAACCTGAGAAACATTATGGATTACAACGAGCAGCTAAACAACAAAAACCATCTCGTGGTATTGATGATGTGCATTTAAATCAGAATATAGGTAATGATGGTAGTGCCTATCAAGATGGAGCATTATTTATTGAAACAGGCGACAGTGATCAGAAAAATTATGTGGCTTTTTTCTTCTGCTTCGCAAATCAATGTGGATCTGAGTCAAATTATGATTGATGTAGTTAACCTAGACAAAAGCAATTTTATTTTAATTAACTAAAATACACATAATTATTGCTTATTATTATACTCTATTCAATTAATTTTTAATGCTTTTTCATTTTTATATTTCCTAAAAATAACATTGTTCTGTCACAGCTCACGGAAAAACCATCTCGAGGGTGTTGATATAGACTTGTCTCTTCTTCATTCAGACACGCACTCACAAGCATTCGTCACTCTAAGCTCTATATCTAAAAGATTATAGCGTTATGTCTCTAGAAAACTATTTTTGTTTCGTTTTATTGAAATTCTTCAAAAGTAAGGTATTCCAAAAGAAAAGTTATGTCTTTCAATTTCTTGTGCTTCATACACGAATTGGAAAAAACCAACGTCGAAATATTTCCCATTTTTGTTTAAACATTGTGGTAAATTCTTTTTTGTATATTTCCGATGTTAATACGAAAACGAAAAAATGAAGTATAGGTGGAATAAACGAAATGAAATAACTCGCCAAGAATAATTTATATTCTTTCGGTGATTTCATACAATTAGGTAAAAAAGAAATGATGAGACGAGGTAATGCCAAAATAATCAATAAAAATGAACTAAATATAAGATGTTTATGCTGGTCAAATTGACGTTTGAGTTGTTGTTGAAAGGTAAATATTCTTTGTGCAGATGAACGTTGTCTTGCAGTAATAATCATAATACCAATGACTAAGATAACATTTAGTGAAAAAGGAATAATAAAATGAAATATATTAATAAATCTGTTATAGCTTTCCACTTCAGATGTAAATTTAACCCAACACCACGTTCTTTGATCTTCAGTATCATCAATTAGATGACGATGAAATGGTTCATGAAGAATAGATGCAGCAGTTAATATAAAAATGATAAATATAATTAGTTTAGCTAATTTTCGACTCTTTGCCTTATCAAACTGAACTCCACGAAAAACAACAAAAAATCTTTCAATTGTCACAGACGCATGTAACCAATCAGTTGTTGCTAATAAAAATCGAAGAATAAATTCACTTGAAATACAATTAAATAAAAGAAAAGATCGAGAAGTTATAGTATTCATTTGAGAAAAAATAAGAATCCATAATTTCATATAGAAACAAATGAGTACTAAAATTGATGTAATTGATGAAGTAAAAAGATAAAGACCACAACCTGTTTTTCGAGTTGATTTTATTTGAAATGTCAGATTTGATAGAATTCCACTAACAATGCCAATAATGAGGATTAATGTACCTAATGTTATACTAATTTGAACAGGTAATGGTTGTTGAATTAATGTTAGATGTGGATGAATATGATAACCCAAAATAGAATCAAGTGAAAGACCAGAATGTTTTGTACTAAGTTGACATTTATCACCAAAAAAACATTCTTGACAAACACACATTATTTTTGTTGGACAATGTGGATGATCTTGAAAACATCGTCCATCATTTTGACAATCATTTTGGCCTAAACAATTGTAAGTCATATTAAAATCAAAATGAAAGCAATTTGCATGTCTTTCTTCTGTACATAAACACATAAATGTATAATTATCATGAAAACAAATAAGATCAGAATGATTTTGGCATATAGTATGATAATATTTTACACGACGAAGATGTGGATATCCAACTGCAACTTCATCTAATACTTCTTGAATGTGTGGACAACGTTGTGATGGAGAGATTTGTGTAGAAAAAGTAACTGAAGATGTATAATTATGTTGAAGAATAACAAGATAGTACATATTCTTAAATTCAACGAAAACAAGATGAAAGGGTAATGACATGTATATAGTTATTGTTTTTTCATTGAATGGAATTTTCTTGAAAATAGTTACTCGAATAGGTTCTGTTTTATCACTTATAATAGAACGTGATATAACATTAATGAAATGAACAAGTAAAGATTGTGGAATGTCTACATTAGAAAATGAAATATCGATTCTCACATCTGTCTTTTCACAATAGTCACCAGAGAATCCATCTGGACAAACACATGTGAAGTTAATTAAAGATTGTTGATAATCATGTGGTATACAAATACCTTTATTCATACATTTGTTATTCATTTGACAGATTGAATTAAGATAACATCGAGGTCCTGTTTTGTTTAAACGACAAAGACAAATTGATCGATTTTCTTTAAAACCAACACAGATCGAGTCTAACGAACAATTACATTTGTGTTGTAACGTAGAAATTGAATTCGTCCAATTTGAGCATCGGCAAGATTGAATATTGTCATTTGTTAATGATTTTAGATATTTATCACTACATAATAAATGACAATTTTGTTTTGTTGGAATCATCAATTGAACACTCATACGATTAACAGGCATAAAAAGAAATTTAACTGGAAATATCCAACTTGTAAGATAAATAAGATTTACTTTATCATATGCATCAATATAGATTGTATAATTCTTCGTCATATCTTTTGGACGATTTTGATAAAGAAGATGCATATTATATTTAGTGTTACAATTAATTAAGGATTTGTATGTAATTTGTTCATAGAAATGGACAAAACCAGTATGATCAACAAGTCTAATAATCATACCAATCACATTTAACTTATTCAAATTTTCATGACGTAATCGAATAGTGAGACTAACACGCTGATTTTGATATTGACAACGATCACCATAATAACTTTCTGGACAAAGACATTGTTCTTTTTCATTTTTACCAACTAAAATCACAAATCCTTTATTGCATAACCATAATCTTGGATCATTATTATGCTTAATAATAGACAATTTCTCAGTTTTTATCATATTACTTTGTATGTGCTTGTGAATCAATAACGATAATTGGATTGGAGGAAAACTACTTGATGATTTATGAGAGAATAGCTGTCTCTTATAGACAGAAATGTCGTCTATATGATTTATATAATTAATAATGTCTCGAATATTGTCATTAAACCAATCACATATTTGATCGAATTCGTTGGACTTATCGCAATCTCGACAGGCACCCGGTACTGAAGTACACTTTGTATCATTCCAACAGCGATAACGTCTCAAAGCATTTTCTGATTGGTTTCGACAATGAGATCGCTCATCTGTCGATCCAAGACAATCAATAGTTCCATCTTCAATACGATTTATATGTAAACAATCCATCTTGCGGCTCTTTGGAGACAAACAAGGATGATGATTTGCAGGACATTGAAAACTTGTTGAACAATTAATTTCATCAATTCCTTTTGGACACTGCCATGCTGCATTACAACGTGTATATTGATTTACACATGGCCATTGTTCACAATGAATTTCATCAGTTTCATTTTCTATAGAAACTATATCAGTCCAGTTATTACAAAAAGAAGAAAAAGCAAGCTGATGAATCGTATATACGAAATCGTCAAACAAAAACTCATCTTCCTTGCCAATACATTGCGCTATCTTATCCTGCACAAGCGTGGGTGAGAGACATTTCTGTTCAGATGTACATTGAAAACGATATTTATCATTCAATGCACATGAGTTCGCCGCAATTGACTCATCAAACCCATCGTAACAATCCGTAAATCCATCCATGATTCGACGCTTAGGTATACATTTATTCGTTCCTAAACAACGTACTGTAGTTGGATCAAGGCAAGTATTCTCATTATCATTCTGAAAGAGTTGATTACATGCTCTAAAAATGTCATATGCGGTATAACTTGATGTTAAATTTAATCGGTTAGTATGTAAACATGTATAACTATCTAGTGTGAATGTTGGAATTAGAAATGAACAAAGATCTTTGTTATAACATACAAAGTCAGGTTCATATCCAGATCGTCTGATAGTTGTTGAATTAGAAAAATACCCAAATCTCACATGCCCATCCCATACTGGAAAGGTAGGTGCAATGAATGCAGGTGGACAATCTTTAATAGTTTGTATTTTACATTCTTGCGTATTATTGCACAAATTTTTGCAATATTTATCGAAGTTGATCCGTGACACTAAGAATGTCACACACATAAGAGTTTTGAAACAACGAGGATATCGTGTATCTACAGGATTGTCCCAGTCAAACATATAGTTTACTGCGCGATCTCGATTATTTATGCATCGAACACTCCCTCGAGTTATTTCCACAGCAAGACAAACTCCATCTCCGCAGTTGAAATCAGTATATCGTAGACAAAGAACATCTTCACATCTAAAAGATGGGTCTCTTGCGCATAAAGCTGATAATACAGATCGAGTTTCATCTGATCCATCCAAACACTCTGTATTAATAGTTTTCCTGTGTGAATCTTCATCTAAAAGGAAATCTTCGTTTACACACATACCATTTTGACATTGATATTCGTTTTCTTCACAACGATTCATTTCAAGTTCAATACAATATTTTTCATCTTCACCATTATCAAGACAGTTCACCTTCCCATCACATATTTCACGCCAGTCGAGACAAGTTAGAAATGAATGATTGTCACATTTCATATGCATGTAACAAGTTAATGTCGTATTTTCATCGAATAAATTGCGCTCGTCCAATCTCATTTGAATAAAAGATGAAAATGATTGATTTAAAATAAATCTATATTGACAAAATGACCCAAACCATGGTAGAGTACAATTATAAAATACTTCAGTTGATGAAGTTGTATTCATTTGCAGAAAATATTCATAACGTTCGATAAGATCAATAGGACTTGACCATTGCATTAGATCAGTAGACGTTATATTATTCTTTTTTAATTCATCAAAAGTTAATTTAGATGATATTGATTTTTCATTAGCATCAGTTATTTCTTTCGAAGGTGTTCGAATACAATATTCAACAATTTGCTCAATTATATAAGTGCTTTCATTTAAACTAGTACTCTTAGTTATAGGCGAATAGAAACAATCATGATCAAAATCATTGATCATCATATCTGTATTATAAAGATTGTAAAAAGGTTGCCATGTATTTGCATTAGAAACTATGAAGGTATTACTGAAGATAATAATGATATAAGATAATAATATAGCCATCTTGAATATAATATATCTGAAATAATTAAGATGTGAGTATATGAATAACCCAGAAAGGATGGATTTAATAGAAAGGTATGGGTGGGGATAAGATTTGATCATAAAATACTCACATCCTCAAATAGTGAGGATGAAAACTGATTCTATAGCTCATCTTTGCTCTTTATCTTCAACACGGTAGCTCGATTTTCTACTCATATATTTCATTATCTTTAAAAATTATCGAATACTTAGTAAAAAATAGATAATATATATGAACTCACCATGTCATACATTTATATTGGCTGTGTTGTTAAAGATTTGAATTAAATTCAACATCAGAACAAGTTAGATAATGACAAAACTATAGATCATAAATGGGTAATACTTAATTGATACTGTTATTAGATAGGAGAAAAATAAAAGTGAAATGGATAGAAAAATATTATGATGATCTCCAAAATGCTATTGAGCTATACAATTACCACTATTTTCTCTAAAACTTCTTTTAAAAATAAAATTGAAAAATGTAACATAATGGATAACGTAGTAGACAAAAATACAATATATATATCTGTGTTTTGCTATCATTTATCAAAATTATAGTTGATTCGAAGAGTTTTTATATATTTAAAAACAGAGTATCATCTGCCATTACATTTCTCTTTTCTGCTCACCTATGAGGGACTCACTCGAATTGCTTCACGTCGCTTGAGCTCAAGCAATATGGAACACGTTGGACGGTTCTCTCTCGTTAGAAAAATACAGATTATTTCAGGATAAAATTTTACTGTTTCAAGTTAAGGCAAAAATGTTTAGATATGTTGACGCTAAAACTAGTATTGTGTTTCTCCGCCGTCAAAATGTAACTGAATATCTATGAGCATACAAAATGCAGCAAGTTTGAGAGAAAAAAAATTGTAATCTAAATACAGATTAAAAAGTGGATATAACGCAAAAGAGAGAGAGATGGATGCAAATGAAAAAAGGAAATAAGGAACTGCGTTTCATAATAAAACAACGACGGAAATGCCAACAAAGACGGTTGACAGATGGAAAAATCATTACTAAATAACTCGAGAAAAAAAAAATGGCGTAAGTGCAAGTTTAATTTTCATGAAACTAATCAAAATCGACTTTTCATACTTCACTAAAGAAAAACCTTTTTGTGAGAAATCGCGATGAAGTGAAGTTTGTGAAAAAGCGATTTTTGGTGATTTTTGTCAATCACAATAGTTCGACCGTTAATTTGAACTTTCAATATCGCATCTCCAAGAAACTGTGATTTGAAATGGTTTTCACAAACTGGATGAACGGTCTGGTTCCTGCGATAGAAAAAACACGTCGAAAGATGCAGTTTCTCACAGAAAGTTGTTCCTTTAGTGAAGTATGAAAAAGTCGATTTTGATGAGTTTGATCAAAATTAAATTTGCACTTACGCCATTTTTTTTCTCGAGTTATTCAGTAATGAGTTTTCCATCTGTCAACCGTCTTTGTTGGCATTTCCGTCGTTGTTTTATTGTGAAACCTATTTCCCTATTTCCTTTTTTCATTTGCATCCATCTCTCTCTTTTTTGCGTTATATCCACTTTTTAATCTTTATTTAGTATAGAATTTTTTCTCTCTCAAAACTTGCTTAGTCTGAGTCAGGTCCTTTCTAGATGTGTCCAGCAGTGGACTATTGGGGAAGCCGATCGGGAAATTGTTTCATTTCGAGAAGAAATGGTTCATCCCCACAAAAACAAAGCAAAAAAGATATTTATTTAATTTCGTATTTGATACCACATGGATATTCCATACAAAGAGAAATGGTAGAAACATGAAAATATATATATTCAAATATGGATATTTTCATTTATAGAAAAAAGCTTTTTTTTAAAATTCTATTTCTATTTCTCATTGTGACTGAAGATATAGATAAAGCATTTTACATTGAAATTTATTTATTCGTGCAAGTAGAAATCCATATTCACTAGAATGTCTCATTAGACAGTAAAAATAAAGTGATCCATTTCTGTTTATGAGTGGAGATGTGGATGAACTACTGCCCTTTGAATTGTTGTTAATTCGGTCGAAAAATGATTTCTCCTTGGAGCGGAACAGTTTCTCTTGGTTGAGGGATTTGGGCTATCCCTCGATCCGAAAAGGTTCCTACAAGGATCTTCTATTTTTTTTTCTAGGAAACGTCAAAATCTTGAAAGAAGCTTGTAGCCATGAAATACTAAAGATTTTCATAGGATTATAGCAAGATCTTGACATGATACTTGAGGGTTCTCCTCTGCTTTTAAATCAGAATACTGTCAGAATTTCGATTAATCTTGGCCGGAAAAAGCTTTTCTGTTGCACATTAAGGGGTTCACCAGGACTTTATTAGGTTCCTATCAGGATCATGGCGGAAGGGTGAGGGTGGGTGTTTTATGATCAAAACTTACCCCCATCCCACAGCCACACCCACACCCTCAAGATGACGAATAGCTATTCACTCACAAAAAGAAAAGAAGACGAAAATGAAAAAAGAGAAACTATGCTTAGCAATACGTTGTTTTTCTTCAAGTACTATTTTTACTGTTGGGTGACATATGTAAACGAATTGTGAACGTGGTTGATTGTTCATTATTGTATGAATAGTCTATATTCTTCGTATCTAAAAAAGGACGTCTCCTTTCTTTGAATAGTATTATATACCCTTTTCATATTCAAATAACTACGTTATCTCATTTTGAGATAAATCATTCCTCTTAATGCCGACATAATAGAAATAGACCTCAGCCTTCTATCTCGAATAAAAATGTCTATCCTTGTGTCTATGGTTAGTAGACGTACACCTTCTATCTTATAAAATGAGAAGGTAAAGCTATAGAACTATTTATCGTTCTTTGTAGTGACAATAGACTTAAACCTTCTGTCGTATACAAGAAAATGAGAGAGAGTGAGTCGAAGGGAGGATATAAAATGACGATCAAAGAGATACAAGAGCGGACACTTTCTTTTTAGAGCATTGGTATATGTCTACCTTTACGTATGTTTTATTTTGTGTCTCAGTTTATGATTTTTTTATATGTGTTTACCATTTAATTTTAATAAATATTATTATATTAGTAACGATATACAAGAAAGCTTAACATAAACTCAAATATTTCGTTACAATTATAGAATTGTCAAATTATTCATATTAGCCATATTTTGTTATAATGCATCGGAATGGATCATGTAAATAATACAATGTGGGTGTGGGTTTAGGGAGTTTTATCTTTCTACCCAAACTCACATTCATCCCTCATGCAGATTAAGTATGAATTATTAAAGACAATAATCACAACTTTTTACATTACAAATCGTACGAGTATGATGCCGTTCCGAGATTATGTTTTCCATGCATTAACATGTATTGCACTGATGAAAATGACGGTGTCATGTAGCTTGTATCGACTGTGGACACATTGTTACAATATCAGTTAAAATGATCGTTATCATAGTGTCCCTGACTTCTGAAAGAAAAAGAGAATACCTATCTCACTCTTGATTATCTTTTATTCTGTAACTTTTTTGTCACTTGTATTATCACTATGTTCACCTTGGCTTTACTCCTTATACTCACTCATGAGTATATAAGAGAGAAGTCAAGGAGAGAAAGAGAGTTAGTCGATAAGAGACAAAACGAACGTAGCTTGATTCTTCTAACTGAAGGATATCTTTTGGAATTTAAAAGAGAATAAGCGTTAAATCATTGTTCATTTTGTTTTCGTTACATGTATAAACTAAGCGCATGCGATAGTTATCAGAGTTTGCAATAAAATAATTTCTCGTCCATTTCGATATGGAACGGAATCGTTTTCGTTTCAGAATATTCTGTAACTCGATAGCATTTTATCGATACTTTTTTTTTCAAATCACATGTTAACAGATACGACGGTATAGAATACAGAAAAGCAAAAATTGCTATTCTAAAAAAGGAGGGAGAGACGTTTCGTTGACAAGAGAGATATTTAGCTGCTAGATAAAATTCGTATCGACTTTAAGACACAGAGAAAAATAGTAGAACACGTTAGTAATATATAGTTATAGTGCGACCGCTCAGCACAAACATTTCATTTTTCTACTTGTTTCTCGACATATCCATACAACTGGGCATCTTCATGGACGTTTTTATCTTTGTTTACAGAGGTAATAATGGAAAGTGAACAGATCAATTTCCTATTCAATTGTGCTTCCAATCTACGCCTTCGCAACAGTCTATCATCATCGCACGAGTTCAGTTTGTCCGATCTTTGTCCAAAAAAATTGGCTGCTTGGGGTGCCGAACATCCTGCTGATCTGAATTATCGCGTTGAATTGGCACGTCGTATTGCATCGACATATGACGATGCTGACCAAATTATTATTTTTGACGATATAGCAACTACTGTACCAGATTGTGAGTATAATGATGCTCTCTTTATTTGTGGTTTTAATCGAGCTCTTCTACCTGCTCTCTGGTTATCGACTGGATTTCGTTGTGGTGGTCGAATACTCGTCTACTCACCGCCGAATTCAATCGAAATAGAAAATTATTTAAAGTTAAAAAAACTGATCGAAGAAAATCTTCACCGTTCCATTAATATTCAAATTCTTTATGAAGATTTAACTGGTCGTTTACTTAATCTTGTTGAGTTATTTGAAAAAAGTTCAGAAAACTATGCAAATCTATGTGAAGAATTTGCTCAACAATTCTCAAAAGCATTCTATCCGAAATATCATGTCGATATGCTTCAACGACATATTGAAACTATAACACAAGGCACCAAACAATCTTTTGTGTTTCCTTTTGAAATGACCAAAATTCATCTTGAGGCGCTGCTACCTTATTCCGATCGATTAAAATTACCTGATATGCCAACAAATGACAAAGCAAAACATAATTTATTCTTAAGAGCAAAAGGATTTAATTGCTTACCAAAATTATTAGCTGTTTCGCCAAATGGATCATTGATTGATAATTATGAGCAATATATCGATGCACTGAAGCAATGTAAATTAGAACATACAGAAAATACATTATACAATATCGAGGTAAATATATCTCTACCAGTTATTACCTACTTTCCTATATTGTTTCCAAGTATTATAGTATTATGTTGTGCGACAGATGAATAGGAATTTCTTTTTCATACAGACTCTCTTTGGATATTTCTCTCTTTTATTTACAGATATATTAGTAGAAATTTTCTTGAGCTCTTCAAATTTCGGTAAACACTTATTTTCTATTAGAAACTCTTTCTCTTTACTGGGCATGATGAAGAGTTTATCCAATTTAGTCAAATTCTTTTACTTTTTAGAATTCCAATATATCGAATAGAAAAAAACGAGATAACTCTCAGATTTTTATCATCATTTATGACTGTCCTAAAAGTTGAATTGTATTTCTAAATTTGTAGATCTTTGCTCGAACTATCATTGAAGCTGTTGATCAAATTTATCAGAAATATAATACAAAATCATTTGTTAAATTAGATGCAACGGGTGTAGGTGGTTTATCAGGCATGAGTCCAAGTTTACATCCAATAATCTATGACTATAAAGAAGATAAAAAAAAACGTGTTGATTATTTATGCAAATATATTGAAATAAAATTGAAAGGTACGAAATTACCCACAACAGCAGTTGTTGAAGAATTTATCGAACCACAAAAACGTGTTGATGATGTTGATGCTACTTATGGTGTTTGTGGATTTGTTCTTGGAGGCATCTTTTTTCCGACATCAATTAATCTAGCTGAAACACCTGATGCATCGTACATAGGAATGGTAAAATTGTTTTATTTGATGTGAGAACATTAAATTTAATTTTTAATTTTTCTGAAAATCAAAAATCAAAGTTCTTTTTTGAAGTATAAAAACTTTGAGAAAGTGTTTTTAGTCTTAAACAAAAATACCGTTTAAAAGTTTGTATTTCATAGAAGTCGAAGTTTTATTAATTGGAGAAGACTTCATTTGTTTATATTCTAGTGGATTTCATCATCGCCAGCTGATATACCGGATTCACCAACAGAATGGCAACAAATGTTTCAAGAATATTCTTGTATGGTAGCTTTGGAAGCATCTGAATTTCATTACCACAACGGAATCTACGCTGGAAATTTATTTTTAACAAAGGATGGTTGTCATAAGATACATGATTGGAATATTCGTCGTGGTGGACGCTCAACACCCGAATCCTTAATAATATTTGATATGCCAATTTACGAAACAAAATTTACATTATTCTTGAATGAGTTTGGATATCATGAACAGATAAGTAGACTTAATTTATTTCGTATTTATAATAAAATATGCGAAAGTTTAATGCACAATTATGGAATATATGTATTTTCAACTGAATATAGTTATTTTGGTAAAGGTTATGTAAAAGATGATTTTTTCAAATTTAATTTAATGATTCATCCAAAATGGCTTGTAAATATTGACAATAATGGAGAAAAACAAAACTTACCTAAAAGTAAACATCGCAATAAAGTAGAAGAATTTATTCGAGAAACAACTAAGAAATGTCTTCAAGATATGGATGAACTTAATATATGATCCATTTATTTAAGAACAACATTCATTGATTCATTTACTAATATTGATAATTGTATTATTTAGCCGCACTAATCTATATTTGATCCTGTCGTCTTAGAAGTGAAAAGTAGAATTTTAGTTTTGTATTGTTTATGTTTGATTGCATTACTTGTATAATGATAATTATGAAGTAAATAAACTAATTATTTCTATAAGACAATCTTGAAATCATCTTGAGGGTTTGAATGTTGTGTTTATTCTCCATAGACACCAATACCCAGAGTTATTGATTGATCGTAGGTTAATCGAAAGAAGAAATATCACAAAACATGATGTCACTAGTGAGTAATCTCTAATTATTTGTTGAACTTTTCGTTTCCTCAAATAGAAATTTATCACTTAGATACTGAGTCATTTGTCAAATCTTTTTAAATGTACAATCTATTCAATACAAGTTTGGATGCGAAAATAAAACAAGATGAAGTGTTTATTTGATTTATCATTAACAGTTACTAGATGGAAAACAATGATTTTGTAATTCTATCTCTTACTCTTGTCTCTCACTTGTGTCTAAATATATTACAGCTACGTTATAAAGAATGAAGAATGTCTCATCAATTGTGTTTTATCGATATTGATCGATGTGATATTCTTTTTTTGATCGAAATTGAGATCTGTGACGCCTCACCATTTCTGCTGCTTGATTTGGCATTCAATCGAGAGAAAAAAAATAATGAAAGTGCATATTTATTTTTGAATAATAATAAATCATCACTTCTAGTAAATAATGCCATCTAGACAATAAGATATGCAGCTATATGCTGAGCATTGACAAGGATTCTCCAACATCAATGAAAATACAAAATATATATGTTAAAAGAATGCTGTTCGTTGTATGATTGAGAAACATGTTAACAAATTCGATGAGACTCATTAAATTGGTCGATGTACTTTTTCAATAACGAAGAAAAAAGAACAGAATTGATTATATGAACCCATACAAATAGTTGTAAAGCTTATTAAAATGCTGATGTGATCAATTGCCAACATTCCTTCGTTCCTTTTCGTTGTATAAAATTACATACACACAGTTGCTTATTTTCATTTATTTATCCATTACTCAACAGCATCATTCCGTAATGAAACATTATCAACGTAGTGTCTGGGAGCCAAAATTCAATGACACAGAATCGGAAAAAAACAATAATGATCAGAAACATCATGATTGGATGAATTCATCGGATGATAGTGGGCGCCCGTAAGAAACACTATCTTTTTTTTCCTCATTAAACAATTCAATATACTGTCTGTAGATATTGCTCGAAACCTTTTCTACTCGGAATGGCTACTGCAGCATTGCTTGTTAGTGTCGCTTTTGCAACAATACTTGCATTGTATTTTGTTAAATCAGGTAAAACTTACTTGTATATTCGACAGAAGAACTACACTTATAAACACATCTGTCAATGATCACTTGATTAGTCAAGTAAGATTTCATGAAAATATGAACTAAAGGTGGAGCGATCACTAGAAGATCTTCTCAGAGTACTACTCCGCTTATTTGTCTCAGTGAAAATCACAATTCACATGAAAATAGTTTATTGTTATTTCAAATAAAGAATGAAATTTAGTAAATCTAATTTGTTTCATTTCGTGAATCTTAACCATACAGAGATGTGACATCTGTTTTTTGTTCCTGTTAAATGTGCAAAGAGAGAAATTTTTCGTTCACCTTTAATTTTCCACTTTTTGTATTAGACGGTAAACTTAAAGTGCGCACGGCAACGTATCTTACGATAGTTGAACATTGTTTATCCTATTGAAAGTTAGAATAATAATAAACTAACAAACATGAACTCTACATTAATAGATTCCTGTACCATCAGCACTACGACGAGCACGGCGAGTTCATCGATCACGACTCCATTGACTTCAACCTCATCAACAACCACTTCATCAACTACAAGCACAACCACCACATCAACTACGACAACAACTACATCAACTACAACAAGTGCAACTACAACTGCCGGTAATATAATAGATAGAAGTCTTGCACGATCTTCATCCATGCACTATACTATATGTGATGATGCTAACTATTTCGAGGAGAACTTTGCACAAATATTTCATCTAGTTCATGATAATTTCTTGCTGATCAATAAAGATATTTTTTTTCAGCATTTAATATTAATTTGGTAACAAATGGTGATGCCGAAACTGGATCTTGCCAAGGGAGTAATGGTATCACTAGTCCGGTTGGATGGAACTATAACGGACCGATTACTCAAGTGATCTATAGCGATCCAACTTTTATGGGTATGGCTTCTTCGGATCCGGGACCTAGGTAAGACGAATATCAGCTTGACTTTTATGCCAAGTTTTTTTTAATCAATTTAGTGATCGTGGTCAATGTTATTTCTATGGTCAGGTGTCAGCATCCACATCAATGTGGCAAACCATCAATCTGATTAATGAAGTCAGTCCTCTTCTTGTTGACAGTCAAACTGTAAAATTCAATCTTTCGGCATGGATTGGTGGTTGTACGACCCAAGATGATACTACTATTGTTTCACTAACTTTTAATGATGCAAACAATACAATGGCAGGTAATATTACTAGCATCGGACCTGTGTACGCAGTCAATCGAACAAGTATAACATCGTTGATCTTTCAGCAGGCTAACGATTTCGTGCCCATCGGCGCTCGTTCAATGACAGTATTTGTCACAATGATTCGTTCATTTGGTACGACGAATCAAGGCAGTGTGGATGACATTGCACTCTTTTTATATCAATGAACATTAAACATATCGCATTTTACTTCTTTGTTCTTTTTTTTATGTATTCCCGCTTATGTTCGAAATTGTGTTATAATGAATAAAATATTAATGATGAATGAGTCATAGTTATTATATTTTCGTAAGGTAAAGTGATGTGAGGATGAACATCAATTATATCAAAAATTATATTCGGTGTAAATGAATAGATAAAATATAGAATTATAATAATAAAATATTGTTCTTTTGCGTCGACGAATATGCTCTTAGCTAGTACAACCAATCGTCTGCTGTTTTGCTTGTAATAGAACAGTCTTCCCATCCGTGTTTATCAATTGCACCACAACATCGACATTAACCTTTGGACCCCATTTTGGGCCGTTTCGGATCGTTATGGTGAGAACTTGATTCGTGGACGATCGAGGTTGTTCTTCTATATCAGATGTGTTCCAAATTTGTGTTTCATTAAGAATAATCCATACTTGATGAGCTTTAACATCAGTTGGAAATTCACTATTATCAACCGTACTGATTCTCAATTTTGCTATGAGATGACTACCCGGAATTGTTGATTTTTCTACATAATTGTTAGGAACAATTGTTGGCATAAAATCACGCCAAAGGAACGTTTTTAACTGAAATTCTTTATCATTTAACATTACTTGTGTGTAAGCTTGTGATAATGTTACATACGATATTGATGCATCATCAAGTTTGATACTATTAGTCGTCATGTGTACGAAGTATACGAACGTGCAATAAAACTTGATTTTAGTGTCTCTAATAGAGAGATAATATCTGAAATAAAGACTATTTATCTGTAATTTTTGTTAACACAGCATAGCTATGTTTAGAAGCAGGAGAAACGCAGTTGATATTATAACAAAAAAATATTACTAAAGAACTAAAATGAGATAGCGTTCTTATCTAGTCAGTGATATACAAGTATGACAAAAGAAATAAGTGATATTTTATACGCGTGTATAACACGTTGAAAATGTTGTTTTTTCTTTCTTTACTGATTTTATTGGAAAGATGAACTTCAAACATTTCCTTTATTCTTCAAAAGAAGTACTTACTAGGGTGTGGGTGAGTAGAAAATTGATTTCATACTTTCGCCTTCACCCACACACCATTCCCATTTGCAGTTTCTTTGTCATGATTTGTGCTATTATTGTATTATTCAATCTATTAATTGTGTAAAGTGCTGATTAAGAATTTGTTGTGAGATGTCATGTAAGTTTATAAAAATAAACCCTAAACTATAATTTATTGCTTGAAATTCATTTCAAACTACTCGAATAAACTATCGAGTTCTAAATTGTGATTTTCTATCGATTGTCTATTGCCAAAGGAATACATCTGTATACTGGATTAAAATTATGTTTATTTCACGCAGAGAAATCAATTACATTGACACATCATCTTTCGGGCTAGCATTTTCATCAAATCAAGCAAAGCTTTTCGAAATACAGTTCCTCCACTCAACGTATAAATATAAAATGGCATTCCAGAAGCAAGATTAGTAAGAAGAAGAAATAGATTGAAGAGAAAACTTTCAACAGCATTTCTCAATGATGATTTGAGTATTCCACTAGTTATGGTTGTATAAAATTTAAATAATGCTAATGGAAGTGTAAGTGTAAGGATGACGAGAATTTGAATGAAAAGCATGATCAGTAATCGACGATCTGTTTTCTTTCGTTGGCTCTGATGCTCAGGGGCAGCTGTCACTGTATTGTGGGTGATACCGTTATTCATTGCCATACGCATCGGATGCAAGCGAGACTCTACTCGTTGTATATT